AAGAAATTCAAAGAAGATTTAATGCCCACACTCCTCAAACACTTCAATGAAACTGAAAGGGAAACAGTCCTCCCTAACTCATTCCTGGAAGCAAATATTACCGTAATACCAAAACCTGAGAAAGACCCAACTAAAAAAGAGAACTAAAGGCCAATCTCTCTAGTGAACATAAATGCAAAAATCCTCAATAAAATATTGGCAAACAGAATGCAGCAAATCATCAAGAATATTATATACCATGACCAAGGGGGATTCATCCCAGAAATGCAGAGATAATTCAACATACACAAATCTAATCTACCATATCAGTAGAGCCAAAAGTTTGAACCACATGATCATTTCTACAGGTGCAGAAAAAGCTTTTGATAAGATCCAACACTTATTCATGATAAGAACCTTACAGAAAATTGGAATAGATGGCCTTTACCTCAATATGATAAAATCCATCTATGACAAATCAACAGCCAGCATCATATTAAACAGCCAAAAACTGAAAGCCTTTACCCTAAAATCAGGAACAAAACAAAAATGTCCATTATCACCAATTCTATTCAATATAGTGCTGGAAATACTAGCCAGACCAAGTAAACAAGAGACAAAGCAGGAGACACCACAATCCAGACTTGAAGTTATACTATAAAACTACTGTAATAAAATCAGCATGGTATTGGAATAAAAACAGACCTGAAGATCAATGGAATAGATTAGAAGATACAACTACAACTACAAGCATACTCAGCCACCATATCTTTGATAAAGGGGCCAAACACATCCATTAGAAGATAGTCTCTTTAATAAATGGTGCTGGAAAAATTGGCTGTCCATATGCTGAAAACTAAAACTAGACACATGCCTATCACCATGTACTAAACTAAAATCTAAATGGATCAAAGAGCTAAATATTAAAACAAACACTAAATCTGTTGGAATACAAACTAAGCAGAAATCTTGAAAACATCAGAGTAGGTAGAGAATTCATGAACAAGAATCAAACTACATGTGAAATACTTCACAGAACCAATAACTGGGATCATGTCCTATTAAAGAGTTTTTGCATGTTGAAAGAAATCTCCAGCATAGTTAAAAGAAAACCCACAAATTGGGAAAAAATCTTAGTGTACTGTCCCTCAGACAAAGTACTTCTGTATAGAACATATAAAGAATTTTAAAAAGTCAGATCCCCAGTATTCAAAGACCCATTCCGAAAATGGGCATCTGAGATGAATACACAGTTCTCTGATGAAGAAATACAATTGGCAAATAAATACATTAAAAAATGTTTAGCATCATTGGTCATTAGAAAAATACAAGTTAAAACTACACTGAGATTCCATCTCACTCCAGAAAGAATGGCTAAGATAAAGAAAACTACCAACAACAAATGCTGGAGAGGTTGCAAGGGAAAAAGGAACTCTCCTGCACTGTTGGTGGGAGTGTAGACTGGTGCACCCACTGTCGAGTTCAGTCTGGAGGTTCCAAAACCTGGGATTGGAAGTCCCATTTGATTCAGCTATTCCACTTCTGGGCATATTCCCAAAAGAACTGAAAACATCATGCCACAGTGATATATGTGCATCCATGTTTACAGAAGCATAATTTATAATAGCCAGATTCTGGAAACAATCTAAATGCCCATCAACTGAGGAATGGATAAAAAAGAAGTGGTGGTTTTATACAATGTAGTACTACTCAGCTATAAAGAAGAATTCACATTGAGATACTTATAAGTGGATGCAACTCGAGACCATACTCATAAGTGGAAAAAAGTCAAATTCACATGTGTAAATACCATATAGTCTCCCTAGTGTAATTAATGCTAAGAGTACATAAGATACAAAAAACTTAATAAATACATTGAAAGGATAAGAATCTGCTTAAAGGGGAAAAATAATATCTCGGGGAAATGAGGAAAAGTAAAAAGGAAGGGAAAAGAAAAAAATCTAAAATTATATAAACACAGGATAGCTAAGATGATTGTACTACAGATTCTATAAATTCTTGGAACAAAATAGTTAACATTCATAGGTTTGGAACAATTGTGCATATTATTGTATAGTGATCTGAGGAACTCTTGAAGATCATTATGTAAAATAACAACCCGAGTTATGCTCCTATTACCTTGTTTTGAAGGCCTATATTGTCAGTGTTTTAGGCTCTTTGCTATTGTTATTTGTCTTTTTTGTTTCGTGTTTTTCTAGGAATTTGTTTGTTTCGTTTTTTTCCCTGTAATACAGAAAGGGTAGGTATACATGTAGATATTCATACATGTGTAGAACTTCTCCTAAGCAGTTTGTGAGAATTGGTTATATAATGCATGATGAAATGACCATCTACTTTGAAGAAAAAGAGACACTAATGGTAACCAGTGCTGATTCCAGATAGTCATGCTGTGGAATCCAGTAATACTATTATTCTTTGTTGAGAGTGGTTTTAGTCTGTTTTGTATTGTTTAATTTCAGCATACATGAAGATATGGACAGTTATTTTGAAGAGAATGAGAGACATTATGGCAGCCCTTGTTGACTTCCCTATTGTCTGGTTTTGAAGACCTAAAATGCCTGCAGCATCCTCTTCTTTTTTTTTTTAAATTTTTATTTAAAGAAAGATTAAACAAAACAGAAAATAGGTAGAAATAGTACATACATTCAGAGAAAAAAAAACAGTAAGAAATCACTTGTTGATATTGTCATTTTACAAATAGTTGTTCAAGGTACAAAAATGGAACATGTAAAGTGGGAATTCAAATAGAGACTGCTAATGTTCTAATCAACTGTCCAACAAAAACTTAGTAACATGGTTGTCAGTCCTATACATTTAAACATACATGCAGTTATCCATATCTTCATTTATATTTAGATTAAACAAACTAAAGCAGGTTAAAATTATTCTGAACAAAGAATAATAGTATTGCTGGATTTCACATCAAGACACTTCATGATCAGCACTGGGTACTGTAGTGTCTTCTTTTTAAAACTGAACTTAAAAAAAGACTTAAAAAAACAGAAAACAGATAGAAATAATACATAATTTCAAAGAAAAAATAAATGGTAAGAAATCACTAGTTGATGATTACAGATTGTCTTCTTACAAATAGTTATTCAAGATACAAAAGTGGAGCATATAAAGTGGGGATTCAAACAGTGAGATTGCAACCAGTTCTGTTCAACTATCCATCAAAAACTTAGAAATATAGTTATCAATCCTATACACTTAAACATATATGCAGTTACCCCTATCTTCAATTATGTTGACTTTGAATAAACCCAAGCAGGTTAATATCACTCTGAACAAAGAATAACACTATTGCTGGGTTTCACATTATGACACTCCAGTACTGGCTATTTTAATGTCTCCTTTCTTCAAAGTATCTGTTCATTTCATCAGTTGTCATAAGATCAGTTCTCATAAACTGTTTATACATTCTACACATGCATGAGTCTTAACATGTATTTTTTTTTAATTTTGAAAGTAGTAAAAATGTAACAGCACAAGACAGAACAAAGCCGATCGAGACAATGCAGTGAAATTGGTAGAGGATTTCACAGTAAGACACTGGGATAGTAGTAATAAGTACTATTGTATATCTCTTTAATTTAACAATAGCTGTCCAGTCAATTACGTATTGTAAAATCAAACCAAAAATAGAACATTGTAAAACCAATTGAGAATACTGAATAGAGCAAAAGAAACATAATAAAACAGTGAAAACAACCTATGCCTTTGAACAGAAGATAGAAGGAAATCCCCCATGTTTGCTATACTGCATATGGTTATCCTCCCAAGAGATGTTGAAACATCTATCCCCAGTAGGTAGGTAAGGGGGGAGGGGGCAAGTGGAAGAAGGGTGCTTGATTTTCAGCTCCTGTGGCAGTAGGCTCACAGGTAATGGTTCTTCTCCAGGCCCAAGCTGCAGGTGCTTACCAAGTGGGCAGGTGAATAAGCTGCCTGAGTCCCTCCATGGCCAGATCTCTGGAGCTCTGTTCTCCTGGCCCGCGCTGCAGACGCTTACCAAGAGAGCGGGCGAATAAGCTGTCTGAGTCCCTCCATGGCCGGATCTCTGGAGCTCTGTTCCAGCATCCTCTTCTGATCAATCTAGTACTATTTTGTTTTGTATGAATTTATTGTGTATGAAGATATGGACAACTATTTAGAAGAAAATAAGAGACAATATGATAGACAGTGATCATCTTTTGTTGTCTTGTTTTGAAATCTGTGTCACATTTTCTTATCTGCTTTATTCTGTTTTGTTACATTTAGTTTTACCCTCTTTAAACTTAAATTAAAAAAAAACCATTCAGCATTACGTATGATGAAGATGAAGATAAGTAAGTGTTAGTGGACAATTTAAAGCTCAGTGGTTGTGCCTGCCTATAATCCCAACTACTCAGGAAGCTGAAGCAGGAAGATCTCAAATTCAAGGACAGTTTGGATAATTTAGTGAGATGCTATCTTAAAATTTAAAAAACTAAAGACTCAAACAGGGAGTGATGATGCATACCTATAATCCCAGCACTTAGAAGGCTAAAACAAAAGGATTGCCACAAGTGTGAGGCCAGCTTCAAATACATAGTGATTTCAAAGCCATCCATTGTCAGGCATGGTGTTGCACACCTGCAATCCTAGCACTTGGGAGGCTGAGGCAGGGGGTTTTCTGTGAGTAGAAGGGGGGCAACCTGGGCTACAAAGTGAGTTCAAGGAAAGCTTGAATTATATAGCAAGACTCTGTCTAAAAAAAACTAAAAATAAAGGCTGGAGACGTAGTCCAAGGGTTGAAGCATCCCTGGGTTTGATTGCTAGTACTGAGAAAACAAACAAAAAAACTATCTAAAATACATAATACACATAGATTAGGTTCATTTGATCAAAGGCTAATCAGGAACATTATGAATGAAAAAGTTTGCTACCTGCAAGGAGTTGACTCTCTTTAGCAAGTGAGACACCTCTGTTACAATCTGTTTTCATTTTTTTCATTTTTCTTCTTCTTTTTTTTAAATGGTTAGGTTGAGATAGGCAAAACTGTGTTAGTGACCGTGAGGGTTCTCAACTCTTCCAAACACCCATTCAGAAATAAGTACTTCAGAAACATGGAACTCAAGCTGCAGGTTGCATCGGCCATTATCACCCTGACGTGAGTACCCTATCAGTACTTCTTCCTGTGCTTACTGTCATGGGATTCTCCCTCCTGGTAGCCTGGTCAGTGTCCCCTTAGCTTGTTTCAGGTTCTCTCCTATTGTCTGCTGCAAGATTCTTTTACTCACCCTCTCTTCCCATCTTCACTCTCTGCAAAATGCATATTATGTCCTGAGCTGTCTTGGTTGGGGACCAAATCGTGTGTGTCATTAATATGTTTATCTCTGAAGTTTCTCCTGGAGGGGACCTTTTGGGAGTGCTGCTGGCTAAAGGACCTTCAAAAGTCTATTGAGAAGTAGAGGTACTGGTATTCTACTCTGAGAAAGAAATATGCAAGAATTCCAATTTTGCCAGTCTGAGTTTCTACCACTCTCCTTCCTTTGTTGTCATAGGACAACTTTAGCTCCTTGGGAGCTTCCTGTCATTATCATGACATTTGTCTTGACTCTTTCCCTTTAACCAGAGTTACAGAGTTACATCTCAAAAAGATGCCCAGCCAACCACTCTCTTAACCAACTCTTTCTCTCCTAAAAATACACTGACCCTTGCAGACCAACAGAGGAGCAGGATGTGTACTCTGAAAACTATGTTCTTCAGGCCATCACAATTGGGCAAACCACACTCGTGGCTACCACCAGAGACAAGATGGGGAGAAAATTCACATCAGCCCCTCGGCACATTGAAGTAAGGATACAGCCTCATTCAGAATTTGCGCTTCAATTTATTTAGTATTGTTCAACCTTTTATGTCCGGTTTGCACAAGTTTAAAAATCACTTGAGCCCGGTGTAGTGTCATCCAGCTTGCAGAAGGCTAGAGTGGGAGTATTGCCATGCTTTCGAGGGCAGCCTGGGCTAAGCCTGAAGTACAAAGTGAGACCCTGTCTCAAAACAAAGCAAAATAAAACAAATCATAAAGGTAATTTTAATAGTCCCTTTTGCTCTAGTGAGATGATGTAGTAATTATTTGTAAATTTACCATAGTATATAAAATAAAAATAAATATATTTGTATAACTTCGTTCTACATAAAGTAGGAGTTTTTCTTAGAAACTAATACCTCAAGGGCTGGGGATTTAGCTCAGTGGCATAAGCGCCTACCTGACAAGCGTGGTCATGAGTTCGATCCCTGGTACCGCCAAAAAAAAAAAAGAAAAGAAAAAAAGAAACTAATTCCTGTCAATCACTGATGTCCTTTTGGTTTTCTCCTTTAAGGTGTTTCCTCCATTCAGACTTGTTCCAGAGAAAATGACACTGATTCCAGCTAACATGATGCAGGTGACCATGAAAGCGGAAAGATAACACACACCTTTTCTCTGTACACACACAGACTGTCTGTCTGTCTGACTCTCTCTCTCTCCCTCTCTCTCACACACACACACACCACACCACACGCCCCTGCTTCTGGGCTTGTGTAGATTGATGTGGCACTGCATTTCCTCTGTGTCTGAGGCCATGTAGGTGTGGTGTTAAGGAAGCAGAGGGCGATGAAGAAGTGAGCTTGCTTGCACAAAATGTTGGGAAACTACAACTTCTCCCCGACTTTCTAGGCACTTGCTGTGTGTTTCAATTCTAGGTGATGTGTGAAGGTGGTCCCCAGCCCCAATCTATCATTCTCTTCTCCATCAGTAATCAGACTGTGGCTGCCGTTAATAGGAGGGGCCAAGTTACAGGGAGAGTGGTTGGCACAGCTGTGGTCCACGGCACCATCCAGACAGTAAATGAAGATACTGGCAAAGTCATTGTATTTTCCCAGGTATCAATCAGTTCTTCACTGTGTTCTGCTTCTGCTCTTCCTTTGTCTTTTTCTTTTGGTACCAGCAATCGAACTCAAGACCTTGCACTTGCCAAGTAGGCACTTATGCTGCTGAGCTATATGCCCATATGCTCTTCCATTTGGAAACCATACTGAGGATTTAAGGAGGAAGAAGAGGAGGGGAGGTGAAGAGAGGGTGTCAGCAGTCCAGGAAAACCCTTTTAGAAAGAAAGAAAGCTTTAGTAACTAGCTGTGGTGAACACTCCTATAATCCCAGACCTCAGGAGGCTGAGGCAGGAAGACTGCAGTGAGTTCAAGGCTGGCCTGGGCTACCTAGTGAGGTCAAGATCAGTCTGAACTACATAGCAAGACCCTGCTGCAAAAAAAAAAAAAATGCAGAAAGGCTGAGGCAGAAAGATCAATGTGAGTTCACGGCTAGTCAGACTACTTAAAGGGTAGCCTCGGCTTCATAGTGAGTTCAAGAATTACAAAGTGAGGGTCAAGGATTTAGCTCAATGGCATAAGCACCTGCCTGGTGAGTGTGAGGTCATGAGTTCAATCCCTGGTACCAAAAAAAAAAAAAAAATTAAAAAGTGAGACCTTGTCTCAAAAAAAACCAAAAACAAAAAATCTATAGTGAAAAACCCAGCGTAGTTGGTAGTGTTATAAGACATCATCCCTATCCTTAAAGAATTCTTATAAAACAAAAGCAAAAAAACAAAACAGACAAACAGGAAAAAGCTGAAAAAGCTGAGTGTTGTGGTGTACACCTGTAATGCTAGCATTTCAGAGGCGGAGGCAGGTGGATCACAGCAAGTTTGAGGCCAGCTGGGATTACATAGTGAGTTCAAGCTCAGCCTGAACTACATAGTAAGACACTGGCTCAATCAATCCATCCATCAATCAATCAAAAGCAAACATATCCCTTGTGTGAGATTCTTTTTTTTTTTTTTTTTTTTTTTGTCTTTTTCGTTTTTATCGGTACCAGGGATCGAACTCACGACTGCCTGCTTGCAAGGCAGGCGCTTATGCCGCTGAGCTAAATCCCCAGCCCCTTGTGTGAGATTCTTTGCTGAATGCCCAAAACACCACAACACACTAGTTGTCATAGCATCTCTGTCCACCCCACAGTGCTCCCTCCTAGCCTAAGTTTCCTCTGTACCCTATCGAGCAGGATGAAATGCAGATTGAAGTTGTTCGGCTAAGGTCTGTTAGGATTGTTGCAGCTACAACTCGACTCATCACAGCCGTTGAGGTCAGTACAAGGCTCTGTGTGGGTCTGTAGTTCTGATAATACTGGGTGCAAATGTCAGACAGCACAATACCACTTATTTTCTTCAGATGCCAGTGTATGTCACCGGAGTGACCAGTACACAGAGCCCTTTCTCCTTCAGCAATGCCAGCCCTGGGCTTACATTCCACTGGTCCCTGAGCAAAAAGGATGTGTTGGATCTAGTACCTAGGCATTCAGAGGTAGGAATTTATCTGTTCATTATATTACCCCAATGCTAAATGGGTTTTTACTTACTTTTCTTTTTTCTTTTTTGGTCTTTTTCGTTTTTATCGGTACCAGGGACTGAACTCATGACTGCCTGCTTGCAAGGCAGGTGCTTATGCCGCTGAACTAAATCCCCAGCCCCTCTTTTTTTTTTTTTTTTTAAGATGTGGTCTTGCTACATAATTGAATTCATTTTGTAACCCAGGCTGTCCTGGAACCCACAACAATCCTCCTGCCTCAGCCTCTCAAGTGCTGGGATTACAGGCATGAACCATTGTGCTAGGCCAATGATTGATTCATTTTCTGAACAATACAATGTTTTCCCCTATGCTATACAAGAGTATTGAGTCTTGTTCTTTGAACTCCAGAAACTTGAAAATCATGTGAACAATTCAAATTTAAGTCTCAAATGATGCTATGTGATTTTTAATATTTTTTTGCTGGAAAGAGCTCTTAAAACGATCTTTACTATATTTTTGTATAATATTGTATTTTAAGCCGATGACTGCTATCTGGTAACACATTATGAAGTACAGAATTTAGGCATTGATTTTAGCATGTTAAGGCATATGTTCAATCATTCACAGTCCTGCTCGCCCTTCATGATTGGTACAGCCATTAGCAGTACACAGCACAGGAAAGCCCTCTTGGGAATGGGACCAGAACGGCTTCCCCTAGCCATAGGGTAGAGACTGTGGTGCCATGAGGCTTCTGTGGCCACTGTTGGACATCTGACTTTGGACAGGGACCCTCAAATCAATGGCGGATTTAAAAAGAGTGATTAATTAACATGGCCTTCCATGGTTCCCTCCACTTCAGCACCTGCTGTATCTGGAACCAGAGAAGTCCTTGGGATGGACTTTGAGGAAATCCAACAAAGCAAGTTAAAATTTTATGTGGTTTTTTTAAATAAAATGTTATGCTTTGAAAATAGATTTGAGGATATAGCTTAGAGGCATAGTGTTTGCCTGGCAAGCACAAGCTCATGAGTTTGATCCCCACTACAAAAAAAAGAAAAGAAAAGAAAATAGGTTTGTTGCTTTTATGCATGTAACATAAAACCTCAAAAAAAAAAATAGATCCTGGTAATCTCAGCACTTAGGAGACCGAGGCAGGAGGTTAAAGCCAGCCTGGGCTACATAGTAAATTGAATACCAGCCTCAACTATGCAGCGAGAACCTGTTTTCAAAACTAGAAAAACAAACACAAAGAAAATAGATGATGTTCTTCTGTAGCAAACAGCAACAACACAAGTCAGATTGTTGCTGATCATCAGTTTGCTGGAATCCACCTCCAGTGATTTGAGCAGGAGGCAGTCACCTTGGTCTGGGCTCTGTCTGAGGAAGAACTATCTAATCTAGCCATCACAATTCATTGTCAACAAGAATAAAGACTCAGAGTTGGACCTTGGGAGAAAAAAAGAGAGACTACAGATTCTGTAGAATTAGAATGTTTCTGGAGCCAGCTAAGAAGAAAAGAAAAGAAATCTGGAAAATGTAAAAACATCTATTGTTAATCTTTCTAAACATATCCTAAATTTGTAACTGAAAGAAACTGGCAGCCAGATCTTCCATCTGTCAGGGACTTACCTCGGTCTGGTTATATCTAGAATTGAAGAAAGGTGGAACTGTGCTTAGTTGGGAATAATTCAACATAGGGATTTGGCTTTTGCTCTTCAGTAACAAATAGCAGGATACGTCCACTTTTTTTTTCTCAAATGAGACAGAGTCTTATTATATAGTTCAGGCTGGCCTTGAACTCATGACCAGCCTCCTGCCTCAAACTCCCAAGTGTTGGGATTACAGATATGTGCCACCAAACCCTGCTAAAGCAACATTCTTTTCTTTAGCAAAAGAAATTATTGAGAACCAAAGGAATACTGTCTTTGCTGCTTCAGATGCAGCATAGCAAATTGGATGATGGAATGGGCAACAGAAAGGTCACCATGCCCTGCACAGTAGATTTCCTACACTGTGGAAATGCCATTTTTTAGAGAGTCATTTCAATGAAACTATTAAAAACCTCTCATTCTTTAGTATGGACTTTCTTCCAGATAGGTGATTGAAGTTTGCACTAAGAAAATGAGAGTTTTTATGTTGAGGAGGAGGAAAAGGTGGTTTTGGAGGTCAAGGTTCTATTTTGAGTCAAGAGAGCTTGCTGATCCAAGCAGGCAGGGGAGACAGGAAGTGATATGAGTGCTGAAAAGGAAGGCTATGTAAAATGTAAGTACTTATATTTATGTAAATTCAATATAAATCTCCCTTAACGTTGGCCATTTCTTCCTTATCAGCAGTCTGCGTGTTCTAACTCTCTTTATCCAGTCTAGACTGCAATGGTGAGTAAAGCACAAGGGGAGATGGCCAATTTTAGCCTAAAATAAGGACCTCCCAGATAAATAGGAAAATCAGCCAGGTATAGTGGTGCACACCTGTAATCCTAGCACTTGGGAAGCTGAGGCAGAAAGATCACTGCAAGTTTGAGGCCAGCCTAGGCTATACAATGAGTTCAAAGCCAGCCGGAAGTACACAGCAAGACCCTGTCTACAAACAAAAACCTCTTTTTTTTAACTGCTCCCTTGTTTCCATGACCCCAAACTCTATGATTTGTACATTTGCTCTATTATTCTCCATTCTCATTTCAACTGTAAACACATTTTAAAAAAATTTTTGGTACTGGGAATTGAACTCACAGCCTTGTACTTGCCACGCAGGCATTGTGCCACTGAGCTAAATCCCCAGCCTTGTAAACCCACTTTAAAAATCACTTCCAAAGCTGGGCATAGTGGCGCACACCTGTAGTCTCAGTAGTTGGAGGCTGAGGCGGAAGAATTACTGTGAGTTCAGGCCTGCCCAGGCTACAAAGTAAGTTCAAGGTTATCCTGAACTGCATAGTGAGACCCTGTCTCAAAAAGACCAAAGAAAAAAAGAAAAGAAAAAGAAAACCACTTCTATTTTTTTCCTATCAGTGAACTGACTCTGAGGACCCATAAGAAAGGATCCTAAACCAGGCGTGGTGGCACGCTCCTGTAATCCCAATACTTGGCAGGCTGAGGCAGGAGGATTGTTGCAAATCTGAGGCAAGCCTGGGCTACAAAGAAAGCCTAAGGCCAGCCTGAACTGCATAGCAAGACTGTCTCAAGAAAAGAAAACGAATGAACGAATGAGAGAAAGAAAGAAAAAAAAGAAAGAAAGAATCCTAGGGCTGGGATACAGCTCAGTGGCACAGTGCCTGCCTGGCAAATGTGAGGTCATGAATTTGATTCCCGGTACCGAAAAGAAAAGAAAGAATCCTAGATGTTTCCCACAATTAGTTGGGCATTGCCAACAGGGGTTTACTTTTGTGGTCACTGTGCTGTGAGAAATAAGAAGAAAATACTATGAAAACAAGCTCTTGTCTAGTATTCTAGTTCTTCATAGCTATTTCCAACATACATTACTTTCTGTCACAAAGAAGAGCATGGTTCTTACTCATGAATATTTCTCAATCTATCCCTGCAATCTTTAGGTTTCCCTGCAGCTTCCAGAAGAAAATAACTTTGCCATGGTTGTTCACACAAAAGCAGCTGGCAGGACCAGTATCAGAGTCACTGTCCGCTGTGTGAACAGTTCCTCTGGGCAGTTTGAGGGAAGTGTATTGGAACTGTCTGATGAAATTCAGATCCTGGTAAGCTCCCAAACTTGTATTCTTCCTCTCTATCAAGGAGAGAAAGCTATAATCCCTTATCATCTATGAAAAGCTTAGGAGCTGGGAATGTAAAATAGAAAAGCTTAGAATAAAGAGAAAAACTGCTAGAGGGATCCAAAGAACAGGTTTGTAGTTCCTAAATTTTATCATTCCTGCTAATTAGTTCTGTAATATTGACTTTACAATTTTGGCACATGTATTCCCATCAACTCCCACACTATAAGCAGGCTCATTTCCAAGTTGCTACGTCTAACAGAGGCACTATAATATATTCATTTAGTTCTGCAGTATTTCCTAGTAGAATGAAATATTATCTTAACTTCTGGTAGGCTGTAAGAATATAAATAGTTTCTATTTATGATCTCAGACTTAAAAGAACTAAATTACTCCCTTTATTGGTGTGTTTATTTGTTTGCCTATTTTTGAAACAGAGTCTCGCTATGCAGTTCAGTCTAGCCTTGAACTCACAACAATCCTCCTGCCTCAGCCTCCTGAGTGCTTGGACTACAGACATGCACTACCATATCTGGCTATTGTTTTTGTTTTGTTTAGCAGTGTTAAGATTTATTCAAGAAAACAAAAATAAAGAATGAGAGAGAAAGTAGCTCTGCAGAGCAAGCTTGGACTGAGTAAATAGAAAAGAGGGAGAGAGCAAAGATAAAAGGACACACTGCATCTGGGAAAAACAGTGTGGGTTGTCATGGAAAGTTGTGCAAGCCTATTGGGTTTGGGGGGGCTGTTATTACTTTGTTTTTTGAGGCATGGATTTACTATACAGTTAAGGCTGACCTTGAGCTTGCAACTACAGTCGCAGTTTCCCAAGTACTGGGATTACAGGCAACCTTATTTTGTCATTGCTGTTATTTTTGGCTTTTTGGGACAAGATCTCACTATGGATTTCAGCTGGCCTTGTACTTACTATGGAGCCCAAGCTGGCCTCAAACTAAGGCAATCCCACCTACATCCAACAAGATTACCATTTCTGAAGGGGAAGTAAGTTTCTCTGCCTCTGAATTTGGGCTGATTTTATTCCCTTTGTTTTGGGTTTTAATTTTGTAATTTAGTGTAAGGAAGAAGAAAGAACACTTTACTAGGAAGTAGAATAACTAGATGGTGTCCCATAGTGATTTAATACTGTAGGTTTCTGTCTCCAAATCTCACTTCAGGTGACCAGAACCAAAACTAGAAGTTTCAAAGGTATCTTATATCTACATAGTACGGAGGCTATAGTAAGTGTAAACTTTGCCACATGCTCAGTCCTTCAGTCAGAAGCAGGGAGAGCAAAAATAAATAAATAAATAAAAATTAAAAAAAGAAGCAGGGAGAGCAAAGAGGCATGATGTTATTTACATTTTCTAGTATACTACCTAGATTTGTTTCAAGTTCCTGGTTCATTTTGGAAAGAAGTTTGGTGGAAATTTTTAGACTAACTACAAGTTAGGCAGACTTTTGACTTACAGTTATCACTTATTTAGCATTTTGCTAAGGTCTATATATGAGTAAAGGTCATAATTTTTTTCTTCCATAAAGGAGGAAAACATTATTTTCTCATTATAGGTGTTTGAAAAACTCCGACTTTTCAATTCAGAGTACCAGCCTGAGAAGATTCTAATGCCAATGAATTCTCAACTCAAACTCTACACTAACAGGTAAGAGAAAAGGAAAAGAAGGGCCAGGTTCTAACTTTACATATTTTCAGCAGAAAAAAAAAATTACATGTGGAGTCATGCACAGTTGTACATGTCTATAATCCCAGCTGCTTGGGAGACTGAGGCAGAAGGGTCACAAGTTCAAGGCCAACTTGGGCAATTTAGTGAGACCCTACCTCAAATTTTTAAAAAATGAAGTCAATATAGCTTAATGATCAAGTGCTTGCCTCATATGGAAGGCCCTGGGTTCCATATTTCCAATAACACAAAGAAAAACATTGCCCATGGAAAGAACCATCCTTCCCTTTCTTTAGTTGTAGACAAATAGTTCACGTAACGTAATACCTTTTTTTCAGCCCCATAAAAGGGGCTGAACACATGTAGGTCTTCCTACATGTAGGCAAGTGCTGTACCACTGAGCCACAACCCTCACCCAAAACTAACCATTTCAAAATGCAAATTCTAGGGCAGTATTGCATAACTGTCACCTCTGTGTAACTGATTTTTTTTGGTTTGATTTTGATTTTGGCGTTGGTTCTGAGGCTTGAACCCACAGCCTCACACTGAACTGCATTCCAACACTTCCTTATTTTTCATTTTGAAACAGAGTCTCTCTGAGTTACTAAGTTATACAGACTAGGCTGAAACTTGTGGTCCTCCTGGCTAGCCTGGCTCAGCCTCCAAGAGTGCTAGGATTACAGGTGTGCACTGCCACTCCTGGTTTGTATTTTCTTCACCACCAAAGGAGACTCCATACCCATTAAGCAATCACTCCTCATTCTCCCTTCCTCCCAGCCCTTACCAAACACTGACTGCTTTCTGTCTTTATAGTATTAACGCTTCTGGATATTTTATAGAAATAGAATCCTAGGATAGCAACTGTTTTATTTTATTTATTTAGTTAGTTAGTTAATTTGGTACTGGGGATTGAACTCACAACCTTGCATTTGCCAAGCAGGCTCTTATGCCACTGAGCTAAACCCCCAGCAATGGTTTGTGTTTTCTTCTTTCATTTGTGTGTAGCATCTATCAAAATTTCATTCCTTTTAATGATCAATAATTTTCCATTACAGATATATGAAAAAACTACCTTCTGTTTGCCCATTGATGGGCAGTTAGGTGACTTTTACTCTTGGCAAGGGTTAAACACAGGGTCTAGATAGGTACCCCAGGCTGGCCTTAAACTTGTGATCCTCCTGACTTAGCAAGAGGCCTGCTGGGTTTTAATGTGAAGCACTATGACTGACCTTATTTTTACTTTTTTACTATTATAAATGTTCACATACAAACATTTGCTTGAGGGGCTGAGGATTTAGCTCAGTGTCATAAGCACCTGCCTGGCAAGCGCTAGGTCATGAGTTCGATCCCTGGTACCAAAAAAAAAACCAACAAAAAACAAATGAACAAAAAAACCCCAAATATTTGTTTGAATACTTGTTTTCAAAGTTCAAGTTTCAAGTTGGGTGAATTAATTTTTCCTTTTTTTGTTTTTCCGGTACTGCGGACTGAACTCATAACCTCACACTTGCCAGGCAGGTGCTTATACTGCTGAGCCAAATCCCCAGCGGGGTGAATAAATTTTTAACGAAAATATATGTCTTACTTTTCTCTCATTGCTAGGACAAAATACCTGACACCCAAAAGTAAAGAAGGAAAGGTTTATGTAGCTTACAGTTTGTGGGGGTTTCAGTCCATAATCAACTTGCTCCAAGGCAAGGAGGCATGGCACAGGGGCAACAGTTCAAGGTGCAGAAGACAACAAAAGCAGTGAGAGCAAAAGCGGGCAGAACAAAGCCTCTTTTCCTCCCTTACATTTTAAGCAGGCTCTACCCCCTAGTGCAGGTGTAGCACTCATACCATCTCCTTCCCCTCCTCTTGAATAGGATGAAGATGTTTACAAACATCCTGGCTCTCTGCTGAGTCACTTAGTTAAACTAAACTCCTCAAGTTGATACAATGTATCAATCATCACAATATGTAATAGGATTTACATTTTTTCCTCAATACTGAGCATTGTACACAAACCCTCCTGTAATGCTAAACAAGCACTGTACCACTGAGCTACATCATTTGGCCTGGATTTGAGTTTTTAAAAGATAAACATGCCAAAGCTGGTGGTAGATGCCTATAATCCCAGCTACTTGGGAAGCAGAGGCAGGAGGATCACAATTTTCAGTCCAAACCTAGGCAATTTAGTAAGACCCTGTTTCAAAGAAAAAGTTAAAAAGGTCTTGGGAAATAGTGAAATGCAGCCATGGTGGTACATGCCTATGATCCCAGCACTCAGTAGCCCGAGGCAGGAGGATCTCCATGAGTTTAATGCCAGCCTGGGCTACATAGTTCAAGGTCAGCCTGAACTACAAAGTGAGACCCTATCTAAAAAAACAAATAATGGCCAAGCCTGGTGGTACACACCTATAATACCACCATTTAGGAGACTGCCGTAGGCCAGCCTGGGCTATATAGTGAGACCCTATCTTGAAAACAAATAAATAAAATTTTAAAAATAAAAATTAAAAAGGGAGTAGTGGGCTCAAGTGATATAGCTCAGTAGTAGACAGGCCTTGGATTCAATCCCCACTTACAGAAAAACAAAGAGAAAAGAAAAGGAAATAATATATGAGCATGATTAAAGAGAGACTTTTGCCAGACTTGGTGCAGCACAGCTGTAATGCCAGCACTTGGGAGGCTGAGCCAGGTGGACCTCAAGGTCCACCAGCTTGAGCTATATAATGAGTTCAAGGCCAGCCTAGACTACAAGACTTTGTCTAAAAAATAAAAACAACCCTCCCCCCAAAAAAGGGCAGACTTTTCCCTGAGGAATAAATAAGCACACAATGTAGAGAAAGAATGCCAAGTAGTTTCCTAAAGGACGGACTCAAGTAGTGGTTCTGGAAATCTTCCCTTCCTTCCCTCTGGCCAGAAAGAGTCCTTAAGAGTCTCTCTTACCCTGTTTGGCTTCTAGAGAGGGAGCAGCCTTAGTGAACACTCGAATTCTCAAGTGTCTTCCTAATTCTTCCGTTATTGAGGAGGATGGCACAGGACTCCTGAAAGCTGGCTCCATTGCAGGTACTGCGGTGCTGGAAGTCACTTCTGTAGAACCTTTCGGACTGAACCAGACAACCATAACTGGGGTCCAGGTAAGTTGAGGCACTCAAGAAAAACAAAATGAGCTGGACACCATGGTGCCCACCTCTAATACCTGCACTTGAGAGACTGAGGTAGAAGGATCACTGTGGATTCAAGGTCAAACTGGACTCCATTGTGAGTTCAAAGCCAACCTGAACTACATAGTGAAAACATGTTTCAAGAAAGAAAAAAAAAAAAAAGACAAAGAAGAAAAGAAAGAAAGGGTCTGGAGGGATGGCTTGACTAGTAGGTATGAAGCCCTAGGTGCTATCCTCAGTATGAAAACAAATGAATAAACAAATAAAAGGAATACTGTGGCTTTAAAAGACAAATTTCCTTTTTTTAAGAACTAGGAGGGAGGGGCTGGGGATTTAGCTCAGTAGGCTTAAGCATCTGCCTTGCAAGCATGGTCGTGAAGTCAATCCCCAGTACTGATTAAAACAAAAAAAAGAAGTAGGAGGGAAAAAAAGACCTAGAAAGTTTGCTAGCTGGGTGTGGTGGTTACAGTTGTAATCCCAGCATTCAAGAGCCTCATGCAAGAGGACTGCCACAGCCAAACCTGTACTATAATCATGAGTTTAAGACCAGCCTGAACTACATAGTGAGACGCTGTCTTAAAAAACCTAAAAAGACGGGGCTGGGGATTTAGCTCCTGCATAAGCACCTGCCTTGCAAGTGGGCAGTCGTGAGTTCAATCCCTGGTACCGATAAAAACGAAAAAGACCAAAAAAAAAAAAACCTAAAAAGAAAAACAAACCAAGGGGTTAGGGAACTAGAAACAGCTACAGATGCCAGAAATGAACCTCAAGAGAAGCCAGGCCTGCTGTGGTTGTAAATCATCAAGTTTTTTAAAAAGCCAAATCAAAATGTACGTTAGAGCCTTTTATAATAAAAGATATTAGCCTCAAATTGATATAGTTGTCTTCTAAGCAACTTTGACTAACGAGTTTGTGTATAAAAATAAAAGGGTTGTGTAGAAAAATAAAAATTAAGGGTGTGTGGGAGGAGTATAGAACTATTGCTGTGAAAATCTGATTTTGATATAGACTTAAAATTTTAGCATTAGAAATAGTCTTGTGTTTTGGTCTTTTGACTAAGATCAAATAAAGAAGAGGCCTCAGAGGTGAATTGGTTAAATGCATGTGGAAAAATGTTAGTCATTAAATGTCCACCCTCTTCCAGCCACTATCTGGGTCCTTTTATGTATATTATCTCTTTTAACTACCATAAAACCACCCAGGTAGATGTTATTATCCCTGGTTAACTGATAAGACACCTGGGACTCACTACTTGAGGCTGCACAGTGCTGCGGTTGGTTGCGCACAGCCAGGCTGACACTGATGCATCCCCTCTGCAGAAGCAGATCTTGTCTCCACAGGTGGCCCCCGTGAAGTACCTGCAGGTGAGCAGCCAGCCCAAGCTGTACACAGCCTCAGGAAGGACCCTGTCAGCCTTTCCCGTGGGCATGGTTCTTACCTTCATTGTTCACTTTTACAACAGCATGGGAGAGAAATTCCATACCCACAACACTCAACTTTATCTGTCTCTAAACAGGTATGATGTAGAAGTCAAAGCAATGTTTCTGCTATGTGTGGTGCACTTCTGGCATTCCAGCACTAGGGCAGGCTGAAGCAAGAGGACTGCGTGTTTGAACCTAGGCTGGCAACTTAGCAACATATCTCAAAATAAAAAAGAACTAATATCGCTCAATGGAAAGGCCTTGGGTTCATTTCCTAATCCCAAGGTGGTGGGAAGATTGTTGACACTGTGGTAGAAACCTTACATATTAAGGTAGCAGCTCCAATAACTTCTTTCACATTCAGAATTTGGAATCTTTATTTCTCTTTTTAGGATCAAAAACAGGCTGGGGGTCAGGCTTGGGACACAGGCCTGTAAGCCCAGCAATTGGGAGGCATAAGCTGGAGGGTCACTGTGGCTTAGTTCAAGGCTAGCCAGGGCTACACAGTGAGTTCAAGGCCTGCCTGGCTAAGCTACATAGCAAAACTCAATCTTAAAAAGACCCAAAAAAAAAAAAAAAAAAGAGCTGGGGATATAGCTCAGCAGCATAGCACCTGCCTGGAAAGTGCAAGATCATGAATTTGATCCCTAGTACCAAAAAAATAATCAGGCTGGGGATATAGCTCAGTGGCAGAGCATTTGCCTAGTATGCATAAGCCCTGAGTTTGATTCCCAGTATCATATAAAAAGTAAAATAATACAATATAAAAGATCAGGTTTAAAGAATGGTCTAGGGGTTGGGGATTTAGCTCAGCGGCATAAGCGCCTGCCTTGCAAGCATGTGGTCGTGAGTTAGATCCCGGGTACTGATAAAAAGAAAAAAAAAAGAATGGTCTAGTTATCAATAAAAATTTCAACTGGGCATGGTGGCACACACATGTAATCTCAGCACTTGGGATCTGAAGCAGCCTGGGCTTCATAGTGAGTGAGTGAGTGCAAGACTGGTCTGAACTACATGGTAGACCCTGTCTCAAAAAACAAACAACAGTGACAACAAGAAAGAAAGAAAGAAAGAAAGATGGATTTTGGTAGATTTTGAATCTGTCAAGGCTTAATTCATAGAAAAAAAAAACAAACTAAATAGAATAATTTTTTTTCTTTTGGGGTTTTTTTTTTGCTTGTTTTGGTTTTGAGTGCTTTGGGTTTTGGTGATAGGATCTTTAATATAGTTTAGGCTGGCCTCAAACACACCAAGTAGTCCAGACTGGCCTCCAGCTCATAGCAACTTTCTTGCCTCTCACTCCTGAATGCTAGGATTACAGGCATGCACCATCATGCCAGCTGTAAATACAGTGGTAAAGCTGTATTAAAAAAGCTTTATTGGAGAAACAATTTTAAAGCCTTAATGTTGAAAACTCACCTCTGTTGTTCTCATCAGAGTAGAGGGGTACTTGGGAGGCTGAGGCAGGATGATTATAACTTTAGATATAAAGTTATAAACAAAACAAGCAAACTGATAGGTTTTTCCTTAGGCAGTAGAAAAGCAACAGCAGAGAAATGAAACAAAGGAAAAGGCCTTTATTGCAGGAGTGGGAGGGCTATAGTAGAGTACAAGGTGCCCTCAGGGCAAACAAAGGAACTGGGAGCTTTTATTCAGTTTGACAGGGGTGGAGTGGGAAGGGCTGGCAGAATGGCGCATTGACAGCCGATTGGAAGAATGATGGCACGTGGGAAAAGCAGAGTTGAATTTTCAGGTTTGCAAGAACACAGAAGTCAGGGTGAAGGGAGACGCTGTCCACTTTAGGGAGGCATCACCCTGAACCTGTAAGAACTGCACATGGGCGGAACCCATCACAAACAGAAACACCAAGAGACAAAAGGCTTACTGGAAACCAGGTGTAGTGGTGCATACCTGGGGGACTGCAAGACTATGCTGGCAAACTTAGACCCAGTCTCAAAATTAAAAATAAAAGAAGATATAGGTTAATGGTTAAGATCCTCTGATTGAATCCCCAGTATACACATAGATACACATAATATGCACACATGTCAAATCACTTAATGAGTTGAATTTAAATTTCTACAGAAAGGGTTGAGGCTCGGGCATAGCAACGCATGCCTATAGTCTGCAGTACCTAGCAAGACACTGACTCAAACAAACAGCTGGGCATAATGGCCTGTAATCCCAGCACCCAGGAGGCTGAGGCAAGGATCTACTGGAGTTCCAAGTCAGCCTGAACTACAGAGAAACCCTGTCTCAAAACAAAACAGAACAAATCCATAGGCTGGGATGCAGCTCAGTGCTGCAGTCCTTGCCTAGAATCTAGCATGCACAAGGCCCTGGGTCCAAAATAAAAACAAAAGTAGGAAACTGAGGATATTGAGTATATAGCTCAGTGTGAAGACTCTGGATTCAATCCCCAGGAACAACAACAACAAAAATATATCATTGGGGGGAGGGTTTAAAAATATATATATATATCATTACAAAATTAAAAAGCACTGGAAGCCAGACATGATAGCATATACCAATAATCACATACCTATAATTGCAGCATTCTGGCAGGCTGAAGCAGGAGGATTGCAAGTTCCAGCCCAGCCTGAGTAACACAGTGACATAATGAGATTGTCTCACAAGAAAAAATAAAAAGGGCTGGGATAGTAGCTCAGTGCTGCAGAGGTCTGGGTTCAACCCCCAGTGCTCCCCACCCACCCACATACACACACAGGAAAGAAAGAAAAAAAATTGAGTGAGTACTGTGCATATGAAACTACAGGACTAATCCTGGGCCTATAGTTAGTTGCCTACTCTTAGTTGAAGAATTCCTTCTGAGCTTTTGAGATGTTGAAAAGATTACGCTGTATTAGGGTCTCTCCCCTGCCCTTTAAAAGAACGATGTCCTATCAATTATCTGTTTTTAGAGATTTGTATGTATGTGGTCCTGGGAATCAAACACAAGGACTTGTTGGTGCTAAGCAAGCATTCTGCCATGGAGCTTCATCTGTAGCCATGCTTTTCAGAGATTTCTGCCTTTCATATCTACTTTCAGAGACGACTTGCTGCTTATTGGACCAGGGAGTAGGAACTATACTTACACGGCCCAGGCCATGAGCAGAGGAGTGACACTTGTGGGGCTCTGGGACCAGCAGCATCCGGGCATGGCCGATTACATCCCTGTGGCTGTGGAGTATGCCATCGAGCCAGACACCACGCTGACCTTTGTTGGAGATGTCATCTGCTTTAGCACGCATCTTGTCAGCCAGCAGGGTTTGTATACCTTCCCTTTTCTTACCCACAACTGAAACGTTCTGAGGATTTGAAAGCAACTAATCCTTTTTCCTTCTTTTCTCACTTTTTAAAATTTTTGCCTTCTTTCTTTTCCCACTCTTATTCCCCTCCCCATGTGAATATTTTCTTCCAATTTCACACACCTAATACATATTTTGGTCCTTATACTTTCAGTTCATTATACCAGGGAAGCAATGCGGTATTTACATGTTTGTCTGATTTATTTCACTTAAGAGTATGATCTCAAGGTGCATCCGTTTACCTAAGATGGTCTCAAGCTTATCCTTCTTTATGGTAGAGTAGTATTCCTTTTTTTTTTTTTTTTTAAATCTTCTTTATCCATTTACCAGTTGGTGGGTATTTGGTCTGTTACTAAGATTTTGCTATTTTAAGTTGTGCTGCTATAAACATGGGTGTGTGTATATATTGCCATGGTATGGTGCTTTTAATTTTTTGGGAAGATACCAAGGAGAATAGCTGGGTCAAATGGGACCTCTAGTATTATTTTTTTGAGGAATCTTCACACTGATTTTTTTTCCACAGTGGTTTCACCAGTCTATACTCTGACCAACAGTGAAGAAGTTCCCACAGTCCCACCAACCTTTGTTATTGGTTGATTTCTTGATAATAGTAATTTTTTCTTGAGTGAGAATCTCAGAGTTGTTCTGATTTGCATTTCTTGAATAACTAATGATGCTGAACATTTTTTCATGCATTTATTTGCAGTTTCTGTTTTTTAATCTGGGAAGTATCTACTCATTGCAGATGCCCATTTTTTAATTAGGTCTTTAATTTAAGGGAGTCTAATTTTTTTTTAAGTTCTTCAGATGTTCTTGACAGTAATTCTTTGTCTGAGGAACAGGTGGCAAACATTTTTTTCTCACACTGAGGATTGTTTCTTCACTCTGTTGGTGAAAAGTTTTTTCTCTTGCTGTGAAAAATCCTTTTAAGGTGGGGGAGGAAAAAGCTATTTAATAAGATGAAATTCTAGTTGTTGATTTTTTGTAATAGTTCCTGTGTGATCAAGGTTTTGTTCATAAATTCTTTGCCTACACCAATGTCTTCAACAGTTCTACCTATTCTATTTTCCAGCAGATTTAATGTTTCCATTTTAGTATTTAGATCTTTAATCCATTTTAACTTTAGTTTGATGAAGGGTGAAATACATAGGTCCACTTTTATTCTTCAGATGTGCAAAGCCAGTTTTTCCAGCACCCTTTATTAAGAAGTCTATCTTCCAGTGAAGGTGTTTGGTACCTTTGTCAAAGATAAGGTGGCTTAGTGTGTCTGGAGTTATTCCTGCATCTTCTGCTGTGTTCCATTGGCCCTTGGGTTTGTTTTATTGCTAACACAGTGCTGTTTCTATCACAGTAGCTTTATAGCATAATTTCAAGTCAGGGGTTATGATGCCCCCTACCTTGCCTTTATTGTCCAGAATTGCCTTTGCGATTTTAGGTCTCTTCTGTTTCCAAATGAATTTAAGGATTATTTTCTCTAATTCTGTGAGATATGAAACTGCAATTTTAACTGAAATTGCATTAAATCTTTATAACAATTTTGGAAGTATGGCCATTTTTACTGTATTAGTCCTTCCTACTTAAGAACAAGGGACATCTTTCCATTTTCTGATACCCTCTTCAATATCCTTTTTTAGAGTACTGTAGTTTTCAGTGTAGAGGTCTTTTACGTCCTTTGTTAGACTGATTCATGAATGTTTTATGTTTTTAGATGCTATTATGAAAGGTGTTATCTCCCTAATTTCTCTCTCAATGAGGTTGTTATTCATATTCAGGAATGCTATTGATTTTGAATGCTGACTTTGTATCCAGCTATACTACTAAATTTGCTTATTAAATCTAGAAGTCTTGCTGGGCATGGTGGCTCACACCTGTAATCCGAGCACTCAGGAGGCTTGAGGTGGGAGGATTGTTGCGAGTTCGAGACCAGCAGACTGCAAAGTGAGCTCAAGGCCAGCCTGAACTGCATAGCGAGACCCCGTCTCAAAAAAGACTATATATATATATATATATATAATCTAGAAGTCTTGGTGGCATTTTTGGGGTCTTCTATGTAGAGTATCATATTATCTCAAATAATGATAATTTAACTTCTTCCTTTGCTATTTCCTTTCCTTCTTCCATTGCTATTCATTTTATTTCTTTCTCTTGTCTAATTGCTCTGGCTAAAGTTTCCAGAACTATATTGAATAACAGTGGTGACAGTGGACATCCTTGCCTTGTTCCTGATTTTAAAGTGAAAGCTTTCAGTTTTTGTCCATTTAGTATGGTGTTGGCTGTTGGTTTGTCATAGATGGTTTCAATCAGATTGTTCCTCAGGTGTTATTTATCATGCAAGTATCTTATTTATACATCAATTTTGAAAGATAGTTTTTTAGGGAACATCAATCTGGGTTGCAAGTTGTTTTCCATTAGAATTTGAAATACTTCAAGCTCTCCTTGACTTGAAAGTTTGTGCTGAGAAGTCAACTGTGATTCTAATGGGCCTTCCTTTATAGGCTATTTGTTTCTTTTCATTAACAGCTTTTAATATTCTATTCTTGTGTTGAAGTTCTGGAATCTTGATTATGATATGACTGGCTGTAGAATTTGTTTTTGATCATGGCTAATTGTTTTTTTTGGTTTTTTTTGGTCTTCTTCCTTTTAATCGATACCGGGGACTGAACTCACGACTGTCTGCTTGCAAGGCAGGCACTTATGCCACTGAGCTAAATTCCCAGCCCTGCTAATTGGGTTTTGAGTTTGTTGCAAGGTCCTATCTCTTCAATTTGTTGGGGTTGAGAAGTTGCTGCCTGCTTAGCCCAGCCCCTGGTTCTTTGGCACTGGTCTACAATATTTTCTATGACCTTTAGGCAATATGAGTCTTGGTATACCAGGAAAAACAGCTAGTTAGAACCATGATGTCACTTTGGCTAAAGTGGTAAAAATCAGCAATAGCAATACCATGAAACACAATTTAGAAAATTACAAATGGAGGCCAGGGATTTAGCTCAGTGGCACAAGCACCTGCCTGGACAGTGCAAGGTCATGAGTTTGATCTCTAGTATCAAAAAAAAGAAAGATGACAAATAGAGGTAACCATTAATTTGCCACCTTTAACCACATGAACTAGATTTGTGGTGATATAATAAAATCTAAAGCAAAAAAGAAAAAAAATATTTTTGGTCTTTTTGAGACAGCATCTCACTATGCAGTTTAGGTTAGCCTCAGGCTCAATTTGTAGCCCAGGCTAGTCTCGAATTTGCAACAATCATCCTGCCTCAGCCTCCTGTGTAGTGGGATTATAGAGTGCGCCACCACACCTGGCTCAAAACAGAAAATTGTATGCAGTAAATATGCCAATTTTACCCTCAAGGGAAAAAATTTAAAGGGGTTAGAGGAAAAAATAGAGAAATAGAAGAGGAAGAAATTAGAAGCAAGGCTAGAGGACAAAGGAGGGTCACATAAACTTTGGGAAACTGGTGCAAAAGAGAGAAGGAAGAAATAAAACAAAATACAAAACAGAACAACCATGAAGAAACTAGAAACCATGTTCACTCTCATGTACAAACCAGATCAAATAATGAAAGAGAAAAAAAACAAAACAGAGTAACACAAGAAAAGAGAAAGAAAGAGAGAAAAAGATGTCTACTTTCCGTTTGTTTCTGCTGTCATTGCCAGACAATGAATGGAGTCAGGCTCCAGAGCCATGCTGATTTATACCAGGCAGGCCAGCAGGAGCTGTGTGGCAGGGTGGTGCATAATCTCCGTGAGCCTGCACCCTTGTTTCCCTGGAAGTTCAGCCTGATTTCTGGCTGTGAGGCTGGTACCAGACCTGTTCAGTCTGCTGCTGTCAGCGTAACTTCTGGGGGCTTGAACTCAGCGCTGGGAGCCACTAGATGAACCCAGCATTGTTCTGAATGCTGAACACAATTGGCCCTTTCCCAAGATGGCGCCAACCAATCATCCTCTCCCTCGGGATGTCCAGTCCTGCTGCAGTCACCCCCAACTAGTGCTGTCCTCCACGTACACTGTTTCCTTCTATTGCTGCATTTCTCCGTTGAGGCTTCTGGTGTTGCCCCCAGTCGCTCTGTGTCCACAGGCTTGAACCACTCCTCCCATGCAGAGTTCCGATTCAGGAAGAAAGCTTCTCTGCTGCCTCCTCCTTCTTCCCTGGAGTTTCTCTCCTCACTCTCTCCATAGGATTCAGTTCTTACTTCAGATCCTTCCTGGATCCAGGGGACCCACTTTCCTCCTTCTCTTCCTTGAGTTGCTACACTTCAGTGTCCAGAATGCAACTCTCAGAGAGGCCCTTTCTCTGCCGCTTACCATTCCACCATCTTCCTGGACATCCTTGAAAGCAATTAATCCTTTAGAATATTTATTCCCAAATTATCTAATGTCTGAGGACTCTTCTGAGGAATAAGACACTTTGGAGTGTTTATTTGTTAACTGGTAATTCTCAGTTTGATGGACCCTTCTCTTGGTAGTCAGCCAATCAGATGCCAGCCAGTATACTTAACAAGGGCAAACTTTACACATAGCCTGTGTCATACAGTGTGTATCATATAATGGATTACAGTGCCAGCTTTCTGAAGTACAGTAACTGCTAACCTGAAGGAAGAAAAGGGTAATAAAGGAGGCTGGGGATTTAGCTCAGCAGTGTAAGCGCCTGCCTGGCAAGTGCAAGGTCATGAGTTCAATCCTCAGTACCAAAAAAAAGAAAAAAGAAAGAAAGAAAAGGGCAATAGAGATTTAATTATAGGAACCAATTTTGAATATGCCGTGCTGTGGACCACATCTGAAGGGCTAACTCCTAATGTATCATCCCTATAATAGATTTTGCCTCTACTGGTCTACACTGTATTCTTGATCAATCAAGTACTCTGTTCTAAGAAGTACTATTGCATTCAGAAAAACCATAGTGAATCAGTCTTTGGCTTGGACACGTGAACTCTGGACTTGCAGCTAGCCCACCATGCACATTACCGTCATCCTGACAAGTATGGTCAGGTGTTGTGTGGCTTTGGCTTACAAACTCTTCTGGGAATTATGGGTAAAGTGCTGAAATATAGTGCTGGGCCTGATTTTACAGTTACGTATTTTGGACATGATATAAAAGTGTCTCTATTTGCCTAAGATCAGATTCCTCAATTCTATAACAATCAACTTGCAAGCATTCATTATTAAGGATGCCCTGATTGGTAATCAGTAATTAGTAATCAATCTAACCTAATCTTTTGCATTTGTTTGCCACCTTGAGCTTGAGGACAAAATAAGTAAATCCTTCTGCTGCCAGTTATCACTTTCCGGTTGGCAAGAATCTGTAGCTAAAGCATATTCATCCTTATACCAAATCTAACAGCTTAATCAGGAAGGTGTCCTAGTATGTAAAAGAGTTTTTCTTTTTCCTAAGGAAAAGTGTTATGTTCTCTGAGTAGCCCTTCTTGTCATTCTGGAAGTCCACTGGTAGGTCTTTATTTTGCTGTTATGGTATTTTAAGGAAAAACTTCCATTCAGAAACCACTTATCCTCAAAGTTATGTGCTCTTCTTGGAAAGAAGTAGTTGCTTTATGAGGTCAGAATGGTCTTGTGTGTTCTGCTTATTTGGAGTTTAAATAAGGGCAAAATGAGCTAGGTGCGGTGGTACATGCATATAATCCCACCACTCAGGAGGCTGAGGCAGGAGGTTCACTGTGAGTTCCAGTCTACCAACCTGGGCTACACAATGAGACCCTGTCTCAAAAAAAAAAATAATAATTAAAAATATGTACATATGGCAAAGGTAGATGTGTGGTATGAAGATTGCAGCTAGGTACTTTCTTTTGACTTTTTCTAGGTGAACCTGGAATATGGATGATTTCTGATGACAATATTCTACAGACAGATATTGTCACTGGTGTTGGAGTGGCCAGGAGTCCCGGAACCACAGTGATTTTTCATGACATCCCAGGAGTAGTGAAAACATATCGAGAGGTAACTCTGATTATAGTGGGGCCAAGAGCCTGGAGTGGCTGTTTCCATACAGAAAATACCCTAAAGAGAGATGCACCTCACAAGTACAAGCCACACAGGAAGTTCATCAGAACACAGTGTTCACGATTCTTTACCAGAAGAAAGATTTCTGATTTAAGAGATCACATACATGTGCCAGATATAATGAAAGTAGCCTTTATTATATTATAAACATGTGCTAGTAAGTTAAAAATAAAAGGAGAGCTGGGTGTGGTGGTGCATGCCTGTAACTCTAGCACTCAGGAGGCTGCAGCTGGAGGATCACCATGGGTTGGAGGCCAGCCTAGAATACAAAGTGAGTTCAAGGCAAGCTTGGAATATGTAGCCTGTCTCAGAGAGAGAGGAGGGGGGAGGGGAGGGGAGGGGAGGGGAGGGGAGAAGAAAAGAAAAGAAAACGGTGAAGTGGAAAGTGTCCTAGAAGCCAAATGAAGACAGTATTGGGAGGAAAGCAGGCATTATTAACCTTGTGGAATGTTGAGGGTTTTTTTGATTTTTGGGAGATTTTTTTTGTTTGGTTGGTTGTTGATTTTTTTTGTTTTTACTTTTTTTTTTTTTTGAGATAAGGTCTTCTTATACAGTTCAGGCTGGCCTTGAACACACTTGGTAGCCCAGGTTGGCCTCAACTTAAGCAATCCTTTTGCCTCAGCCTCCTGAGTGCTGGGATTACAGGCATACACCATCACACCTGGCTGGTTTGGTTTTTTTCTTGAGACAGAGTCTTCCTACCTGGCCTTGAACTACCTATGTAGTCCATGATGGCCTTGAACTTGTAGTGATCCTCCTACCTCAGGCTCCTTAGTGCTTGGCTTACAGATGTGTACCACCATGCCTGGCTTTGTTTTTGTATTTAAGACACGGTCTGATTTAGAACAGTTTTTAAAAAGTTTAGAACAGCTTTAAACTCAGTATGTGATGCAAATTGGCCTTGAACTCAGTAATCTTCCTGCTTTAGCCTCCCAAGAGTATGGATTATCGCAGTGTACCACCTTCCTTGACTTTTTTAAATTTTATATCTCTATACATTTTATCATTTTTAATCTTCACAGGCTCACTGAAGGTACTTTTCTTTTTCATCTTTGTATTTCCAGAGGCCAGCACATCTGGCACATAACAGGCTCTAGTGAGTGCTAGTAGGGAAATACCTTCTTCTTTTTATTGAGACAAAATTTTGCTATGTATTCCAGGCTGGCCTTGAACTCAAGGCAATCCTCCTGCCTCAGCCTCCTAAATGTTGGATTACAGGTATGTGCCACCACAGTAAATTATTTTTCCACCACTTAAACTGGATTTTAAAGTTTTAGTTTTTTTTGAGGCAGGGTCTCACTGTGTAATTGGGGCTGGCCTTGTGATCCTTCTGTCTCAGCATGCCAAATGCTGAGATGACAGGTGTGTACCACACCAACTCACAGTTCTTGGAAATTAAAAAAAAAAATGGCCAAGCATGGTGGTCCACTTGAGAAACTGAGGCAAAAGGATCGCCATAAGTTCAAGGCCAGCTTGTGTTATATAGTGAGTTCAAGCCAGTCCCAACTATGCAGTAAGATCCTGTCTCAAAAACTAGAAAAAAAAATAAAAAAAGAAAGTTAAAATTATTTTCAGTGACTTTTTTTCCCCCTCCTGCTACTGGGACTGGAACTGAGGGATATTCTACCACGTCCACATCCCCAGCACTTTTTTTTTTTTTTTTTTTTTTTGAGACAGGGCCTTACTGAATTGCCCTGCAGGTGTGTGCCATTGTGCTGGGTTTCAGGAAGTTTAAAATAGGGAGTCATAGTGTTATCTGGTAGCTTGTTTCTAAGAAGTGACTTGGTGACTTAATGTCACCAAGTTTTAGATAGCTTGTCTCTTCCTGGAGTTGGATTCCAGATTCTTCTCACCTCAAATAAAGAATTGAACAAAACAAGCAAAAAGTAGTGGTAAAGTTTATTCAAGAAAGCAAAAATGAACAGTGAAGAAAGTAGCTCTAGCCGGGCATGGTGACCACAGGGCTGAGGCAGGAGGATCATTGCGAGCCCAAGGCCAGCCTGAACTGCATAGAGAGACCCTGTCTCCAAAAAAAAGAAAGTAGCTCTATAGAGCAAGTCTGGACTGAATAACTAGAAAAGAGAGAGCAAAGATAAAAACACACGCTGTGTCTAGGAAACACAGCACAGGCTATCACAGAAAGTTATGACAACAAAACTTCTGTGGCATGGATGTATCCTTCTAAGCTATCCATATCTCAAGGAAACCAACAGAACTTCTACTTAGGGGTCCTGAGAGGCGGTGCTGAAATCTCCACCTCAGGCTGCGGTCCTGTCCAGGCCATCCTACTGAAGACCTGCTGCAGTTCTCGGGCGAAGTCCATGGTCAGGGCTCTGGGAATGTTCTGCATCCAAGATCTTGTGGTCAACAGGCCATACCTATGTCCCCAGCCAGTGTTTGCCAAGCCTTAATCTTCTACCTCAACGGGAAGGTATGACTGAACAAAAATTTCTTTCTAGATGAAACATTTTCTTTTCAGGCTGAGGCAGGAGGATCACCGCAAGGTCAAGGGCAGCCTCAGCCACACAGTGAGTTCAACACCAGCCTGTGTACTACATAGTAAAACCTATCTCAAAAAAAAAAAGTTTCTTTTCAAAGGAAAACAAGTTTTGTGGTTCTCAGAGATGTAATTACTAAAAAGTCAGGTTGTATTTGTGTGAAAGATTGTTTTTGGTTAAATAAATTATGAAGGGTAGAAAGGAAGGGAACCAGGTCTTCTCTGGAGCACAGAGACAGCTTTCCTTTGGTTGGTGACAGGTGACAGTCAAGGCATCGTCAAGATTAACATTCACATATGACCTCAAGACTTCTCTCACCAATAGCCCCAACTCAACTGTCTTCAAACTCTTCATCACGACTGGCAGAAATGATGTCAACATGAAAGGCAAGGACTTGCTGTGGGTCTGGGCAGTTGTGTCCCTTTCCCATCTTCCCTGAATTCTCTTCCATGCTAGGCTTCCTTTCCTTTTTCTTGCTCTGTTTCCCAGGCTGACCTTAAACCTGTGATCTTCTTGCCTAGCCTCTGAGTAGCTGGAATTGCAGGTGTACAACACCATGTATGGCTTGTTTTATTTCTAAATTGACTCCATCATAACAAATAAATCATGGAGGCGTGTGAGGCTTCATGCATGTGTGTTTGTGTGTGTCTGTGTGGTAGTACTGGGATGAAACAGGGATTTGCACATGTAAATCATTCTACCCCTGAACTGCAATCCCAGCCTGGATTAAATATTCTCATTGCTTCTGATTTTTTGGTGGTTGTAGGGATTGAACGCTGACTCTTCACACTGAGTTACAGCTTCAATCATCTTTATATTTTTACTCTGAGATAAGATCTTGGTAAATTGCTGAGTTGCCCTAGCTGTGCTAAAATTTGCAATTCTCCTGCCTCAGATTCCCAGAGTGCTGAGATTACAGGTGTGCACCACCACACTCAGCTTGCATGTTTTTCTGCATATAGTGGTCTCTCCTTTTAGAAATTCTTAAGAACAGTCATTTACTGCTTTTCTGTTTTTTAGGCTCTTGTACCCAAAATCAGATCTTGGCCATTACACAAGTCCTTTCTCCAGAGACCCTTGTGATGTGCCATGTACAGTTCAGTAATACTCTGCTAAACATTCCAGCAAGTAAAGTCTTCCACATCCGTTCAGATTTCAGTGTGGAGAAAGGTAGGGTCCACCAGTTGAATAAAGTTTTCCCTTCTGCTTTACCATTCATACTACTGTCAATTTCTCATTGGATTGTATGTATACTTCCAGTTTTGTCTGATAAATAACCATGGAATCGTACTCAGTCTACACCTTGTTCAATCCATTTAACAAACTTAATACATGCCTCCTGACAACCTGTGGTTTTCTACTATAATTTGTTGTTTTATTTTCTGTTATTCCCCATTTGCTCAGTATGGGTCTGGATTGTCTGTTTGGCTTTTGTTCATTTGTTTTGTGGGTTTGAACCCAGGGCCTCATGAATGCTAGGTAAGCACTCTAGCACTGAGCCCCAGTGCTCCCCCCCCACAACTTTTTTTTTTTTGACAGGGACTTATATGTAGTTTATGTAGTTCAGGCTGGCCTCAAACTCACAGTAATGTTCATGCCTCCCAAATGCTGGAATTATAGGTATGCACCACCACCCTGACTGAATGTTTGTTTTTGTTTTGTTTTTTGTCTTTTTAAGATAGGATTTTGAAAGAGAGGATTGCAATGAGTTAAAGGCCAGCCTGTGGAATCCCTGTCTCAAAAAAAAAGAGTAATAACCAGGCACAGCAGCACATATAATCCCAGTTACTCTAGAGGCTGAGGCAGAAATGTGTGATTTCAAGCCCAGCCTGGGCAACCAGTCCAGACAACACTGCAAGGCCACAAGAAGACAAGTTAAAAGCACTGGGACGTAGTTCAGTAGTAGAATGCCTGCATTTCCTCCCCAGTAACATAAAGAAAAGAAATGAAATAGTTTAAGGGCTGAGGAGGTAGCTTAGTGATAAGACACTTATTCAACATGAGTGGAGCCCTGGATTTGATCCTTAGCCCTGAAAAAAAAAAAAAAAAGAGGTAGCTTGATAAAGAAATTATTAAACCGTGCTCAGCATCTGTCTTCACTTTGTATCCTTGGTCTTTCACCGCCAGCCTGTCCTGCATTAGTTAGCCTTCCCTGACGGGCTGGCGTAGCAGTAACAACTCTGTAGACCAGTTCCATACTGAGTTCCCGGGGATGCTTTTCTCTCCCTGTGGTAGTCAATAGTATGCTGCCACTCTGAACTCAAAGCTGGTTCACACTTTCTCCGAGTTCACACATCGCCAATTTTCCTTCCTATCCTAATTCACTTCACTTCTTGGAACCTCTGGACCTGCCTACAGCTTCTCTTTTCCAGGGGTTTATGTTTGCCTCATCAAGGTAAGACCGCAGTCAGAGGAGTTGCTCCAAGCCCTCAGTGTGGCCGACACCTCGGTGTATGGATGGGCCACGCTGCTCAGCGACAGCACCAAGTTCGGGATGCAGAGAATCCTTATTCCTTTCACCCCTGCATTCTACATCAACCAGTCAGAACTGCTCCTTGGCCACAAACTAGACACTGGTGTGATTAGAGTACAGGGAGTGGACAGAGTTCTTGAGAACCTACAGGTATGTTAATGTCAGAACCAAAATGGTAAAGAAGACTAGATTAGAAAAAGATTTTTCACCCTCATTCCTAAAGTAAAGTAAGTTTTCTGGATGATCTGCTAAAAATCGGTATAAGAAATTGCTAAATGATAAAAACATGTCCCTTCACAGTGCCAGACAAAATTAAAAATCTAGGTCATGAGTTTCTTCATCTCTTTAAAAGAACCTATAGAATTTATCTGAAGTCTTTTGGTATTTTTTTATAGTTGTTTTTTGAGAAAGTTCTCACTCCGTCGTGGCAATTCTCTTGCCTATCTCCTGGGATTATAGGTGTGCACCACTACACCCAGTTTATTATGTATTTTTATTAGTATATTTGCAATACATGATAACATTTTTCATATGGAGTTGGTAAATGTATATAGCACATTATTTGTGGCCCCTTCTCCTCCTATTCCCATTTGAAAAAATTCTATTTCTATTTTATCTTTTTTTTTTTTTTTTTTTAATTTTTTTTTTTGTCTTTTTCCTTTTTATCGGTACCGGGGATCGAACTCACGACTGCCTGATTACAAGGCAGGCGCTCATGCCGCTGAGCTAAATCTCCAGCCCCTATTTTATCTTTTTTTAAAAATCTGTTTCCTCTTCCTTCCCTCCCCATCTTTTTTTTTTTTTTTTAATTTAAAATGGCCTTGAGGGGCTGGGGATTTAGCTCAGCGGCATAAGCGCCTGCCTTGCAAGCAGGCAGTCGTGAGTTTGATCCCTGGTATCCATAAAAGACAAAAAAAAAAAAAAAAAAACCATAAAATGGCCTTGAACTCAGTATGTAATCTAGACTGACCTCAAATTCAGTGATCCTCCTTCCTCAGCCTCCCAAATGCTGGGATTATAGGCATGCACCACTATGCCAATCTTTCTCATATAAGAGAAACCATGTGATATTTAAATTTGTGGTCTAATTTATTCCACTTAATATTATGATCTGCAGATGTATCTATTCATCTTCAAATGCCTCAAGTTCATCCTTTATGAAATAGTGTGAATATATATATATTTAAATTTGTTTACTAACAGGCTGCTTCCTAAGATTTAGTTATTATGAATTGTGCTGCTATAAACATACATATCCATGTATCTCTGTAATATAATATATTTTAAATCTTTTGGGGAGCCAGGCATGGTGGCACATACCTGTCATCCCCGAATTCGGGGGGCTAGCACAAGAAGATTGCTGTTTTAGGCCAGCCTGGGATACATAGTGAAACCTTGTCTTAAAAAATAAAAATACACACACACACACACAGATGTGGTAGCAGTAAAGGGAATATCTGGGTTGGATGAAATTTCTGGTTTTCGTTTTTTGAGGAATCCCCATCCTCATCACCATAGTGGTCGTACTAGTTTACCCACCAGCAGTGTACAAGAGCTTTTTCCCCACAGCCTCTCCAGCATTTGATTTCTTGATGATAGCCATTCTTTCTGGAGTAAGATGGTATCTCAATACTGTTTCAACTTAGATATCTCTAATTTTTTTCAAGTATTTATCGATCATTTGTACAACTCCTTCTGAGAAGTGTCTATCACTTTGCTTGCCCATGAAGTCTGTTTTAGTCTCACAGCTGGTTTTCTCCTGACCCTTCAATACCTCGAAAGTGAAAAAGTCAGTGACTTGGTGTCTACTGGCTGTCTAGAACTCTAGATCTTGACAATTCCTGTGTGTTTGGAGACTGGAACACAATTTTCTCTTGTAGGTCCTCCCTAGCACCCCAGTTTTGGTGGTCTCTCATCCCCGGCACTCCCCCGGCCTGGCAACCTTCCCTGTCCTGGTGGCCAATTTCTCTGCCTTCCAGCAGATGGCCTCTCCTGTCTTCATTAACATCTCCTGCGCACTCACTAGTCAGAGTGAGACTGTGATGGTGAGAGCTTTGAGAGGTAAATCTAATGCTGGTGAGTGAGCACTGGGAACTTTTCGTTTTAACTGGAAGGGGAAAAGAGATAGGATGTGTTATTCACATTTTGTCAATGGGAAACATTTAGCCATTTGACCAAAACTGCTCAAAGTAGCCAACTATAAATCTATCTTGCAAGTATATGCCAAGTAGAACCCTTAGGTAGCTTTCCTATTACTACCTAAATTTTACACTTTTTTGACTTTTTGATAGAGATTCGCAGTGCAGTTCAGGCTGGCCTTGAACTCACTTCGTAGCTCAGCCTGGCCTCAAATTCACAGCAATCCTCCTGTCTCAGCCTTCCAAGTGCTGAGATTACAGTGTGTGCCACCACACCTGGCCTATACTTTTAAATAATTTAGCCAAACGTAGTGGTTAATCTCTGTAATCTTGGCACTTACAAGGCTGAGGCAAAAGGATCCCCGTGAGTTTGAGGCGTGTGGGCTTTATAGTGAGTTCATGTCCTGCCTAAACTACACAGCAAGATGCTGTCTCAAAAAGAAAAAAAAAAAAAATTCCACACAAACCAAAAAAAATACCAGGGCATGGTGGCACACCCCTGTAATCTCAGAATTTGGATGCTGAGGCAGGAAGATTGCTACAAATTCAAGGCCAGCCTGGACTACAGAGTGAGTTCAAGGCCAGTCTGAACTGCATAGTGAAACTCTGTCTCAAAAAAAAATTTTTTTTAATAAGTGTCACCTTTGTAACTATTTACCCTCTACAGAATTTCTAAATAAGTATTTTATTTTCTTCAAAAGTATTGATCAGCTCAGGAAAAGTGCTGCTCTTACCTGTAATCCCAGTGTAGGAAAGTGTTTATTTAGTTAGCTTATGAGTAAATCAGAAACTTTTTTTTTAAAGACAGGGTCTCACTCTTGCTTTGTAGGTCTTTCAGGCAGACCTCAAAATTACAGCAATTCTTCCTCAGCTTCCCAAATGCTGGCATTATAGGCAGTTGCCACCAACTCAGCTTGTGACTTCATTCTTTGACAATGCATATGGTATCACTAGCACTTGGAAGGAGGGAACTGGAAGTTTGAGGCCAGCCGAGGCTACACATCAAGACCCTCTCTCTATTTTTTTAAAAGGCCCTATTGAAATAAAAAAGCCAGATGTGGCGGCACACATCTATAACCCTAGCACTTGGGAGGCTGAAGCAGAAGGATCACAAGTATCAGGCCAGTCTGGGTTACATAGTACATTCAAGGCCAGCCTGGAACACATGCCAAAATGGAACAAGAAGGGACAAGAGGAGAGGGGCCAGGCAGGGCTGTATTCAGTCGAACTCTTTATTTGAGGCAGTGGACAAGCATAACACTACAAGACTTAGTTTTGCCAAGTCCAGATTCTAGGCACTAACCAGTTTAGAAATGAGGCCAAGTTAGATCAGGATGAGAACCTAAATCACAGAAGTCTTAGGAAAACCAGAGGACCACCCTGCTTATACTGTGTCTACTCAGCCTTTCAAAGGAAATAAATATGGGGAATCAATTGGGCAGAACCTTAGTGTATCTAATGGGAAAGGATTTTGATGCTTTTGTGAGTAGCTGATATGTACTAATGAACACCCTGAACACATTTACTAGCTCTGTTTCAATTCTCAGAACTCTGCAGGAAGAGTCACACATTTATACACACTGAAGCCAACTTGCTTATTCAGGTACTGGGGATTGAATCCAGGGCCTTCAGGCTGTCACTTCTTTTTTTTTTTTTTTTTTTTTTTTTTTTGAGACAGGGTCTCCCTATGTGGTTCAGGGTAGCCTTGAACTTATTTACCTCAGGCTGGCCTCCTGAGTGCTGGGATTACAGGCAGGTGCCACCATACCCAGCCCCAACCCATTTTTTGAGACAGGTTCAAATTGGGCTCAAACTCTCAATCCTGTCTCAGCCTCCCAGAGTGCTAGGATTACCAGTTTATACCACCATGCTCACCTAGGAATATTTGTTCTCACATTGTAGAATACTGGGGCTGGAAGCCAGAGCTATGTTCCTAACCCTTTTTAAAATTTTATTTGTTAAGGAAAAAATAAATAAATAAATAGCAGGATATATTATAGTAACCCACTTTGATTTCCTATTAACTTGATTTGAAACCCTGTATTGCTCTCACCACCTTGTTTTGACTGATTTTCTTCTATTCTGTTATGCTTGATAGTACCAAGTTCGAAAGTATAGGCAACAACTATGAAGACAATAAGATTCATTATGACGCCCATTTTGGTTGACTATTATCTTCTTTTGAAGTCCTCTAATGTCTCCAATGTTTTGGTTTTATTGGTCTTATTCTTTACTGTTTTGTTCAATTTTTTTTTTTTTACCATGTTAGGTCACACTGAATTGTTCAATTTTATTATAACTGATGATATAGGCGATTCTTTTTAAGATAACAAAAGGCATTATGGTAACCATTGTTGATCGCCTTGTGTTTTGTTCTTACATTATGTATTATGTCCATCCTTTTGATTTGACTGACTCTGTCCTGTTATGTCACATTTGGTTTTACTTTCTTCAAAAAAAAAAGTAATAAGAACTGTGGGAATAATAAAACCCAAAATGTGTAATTGTCATTGTACAAAAGAAAGGAAAAGAAAGTGCTCTAAAGGATAGAACTGCATATATACTTAAGTGTATAACATAGATAACCATATTACTGAGTTTTGTTGGATCATTGAACAAAACTGCTTGCAGTCTCACTGTTTGAAAGTCCCCTCTATATGCTTTAATTTTATAACTTAAACAACTATTTCTAAGATGACAATATGTAATTAACTAGTGATTTCTGTTTATTTTTTCTGAAATTCTGTATAACTTGTACCCTTTTTGGTTTTTTTTCTCCTTAAATAAAATTTTAAAAAATAAATAAAATTTTATTTGGAGATGTAGCTACTGAATTGGTTAGGCCAGCCTAGAATTTGTGATCCTCTTGCCTCAGACTCCTGAGTAGCTGGGATTACAGTAGTTCACCACCGCACCCAGGGAGCTCCGGCCTTTTTGAGACAGGGTCTTGTCTGACTAAATGGCTCAAGACTGGCCTTTCCTTTGAAGGTCTTCCTACCTCGGTGGGATCACAGGTTGCACTATACCTGGCTGTGCTTTCCACACTATTCTGATGAAAAACAACTGTTGGCATTCAAACTGCCTGACATTTGTCTTGGGGATAAAAAGGACCAGTGGGAACAGTGCAGCCTTGAAAGGTGGGAGCAGCTAGATTCAAATACCCAACCAGACTGGAAACTGAATCCACATAGCACCTGAATACTTATTGATACCTATCAGGCATTCTCCATAGTGCACAGAAAAATCAGATTTAACACAGGACCAAGTTGGATGTGGTGGCATACAACTATAATTCCAGTACCTGCGAGTTTGAGGCCACACTGGACACCATAGAGAGTTCAAAATTAGTCTGAATACACAGTGAGACCATCTCAAAAAACTAAAAAAAGAAAAACAAAAACTGAAAGGACCAGCAAGGCATCATGGCACATACTAATGGCAGGATTGCTGCAGTTTGGGGCTAGCCGAAACCATACACTGAGACCTTGTATGAAACCATCAGTACAGCCCAGCATGATAGTGGAGGCTGAGGCAGAGGCAGAAGATTGCTGTAAATTGAGGGCCAGCCTGGGTTACACAGTGAGTTCAAGGCCAGCATAAACTACACAGCAAGACCTTGTCTCAAAAAAATAAAAAAACACCAACACGTGGCCAGGTTGGGAAGACAGGAGTTAGTTCAGTATAAAATCTCAAATTCTTCAGCGAAACAGTTTGCATAGAGCACGATAGATCATGGTAAAAGTAAACCTGGCTGGGAACCCAGAGGGTACAGGTCACCAAATAGTTATGAGGATGTACCAAATTACTAAAAGAAAGCCTAAAATTGAGGTCATTTGGTAGAACAGATTAAGTACTGAAGAACCTGAAATAACCAAATGCAGATGCTGAATGTTCAAGTATAAAATTTTATTAAAATTAGTTGCAAATGGAACACTTGCTAGAAATGACACCCTGAGTAGGGCAAGGGGTGGCTAAATCAAGAGACCACTGGTAATCTAAAGTTTCAAATTAAAGTGATTAGAATTATGAAGTGAATATACACTCACAAATTTGGTGAAGGGGAAACTTGTCAATGGGGCTATTAAGGTACACAAGACTGAGGCAGAGGATCAATTTGAATTTGAAACCATCCTGAACTCAACAGACCCTCAAAACCTACCTCCCCCGCAAAAAAAACATAAGGGATATATATTCATTTTAAGATGACAAGCAACCTTCGTAACCTGAGAGGACTAACAGGTTTAAATATTTTAAGATTTTAGCCAAGCAGGGTGTATATTGCCTGCTAATTGCAGCACCTGGGAGGCTGAAGCAGCAGTATCACCACCAGTTCAAGACCAGAGTGGGCGATATAGTGAGACCCTGTCTCAAAAAAAACCAACTGTGGGTTTAAAGTATTGCTGCTAGGTACTTTTATGATTGACACTTTCAAAGATAGCCTATGCCCTTATTAACCACTGTAGCTGGGTACAGTGGTACACACTGTAGTCCCAGCAATTGAGAGGCTGAGACAGGATTGTCAGAAATTTGAGGCCAGCCTGGACTACACAGCAAGACCCTGTCTCAAACACCAAAAAATAAAAATAACCACTGTCCTGTTATGGTTCATGTACAGATAAACGGGAAGATTCTGATGTCTTCAAGAGACTGATTGGTTCTTACCAGATGTTCTTTACTTTCTTTGTGGTGTTGGCATCCACAGCTTTCATCTTTCTAGGTAAGGCGTCCTTATATTCAGCACTGTGGACTTTGACTATGTCACAAACCAAGTAGGGATGAAAATGAATACCTCAGTAAACCTTCCTAGCCCAATTACCTAGATTAAAAATTCTCAATTTACTACCCAGAAGCAATAATCTGATGTGCAAACAGACACAACTCAAATGGAAATCACTCAAAATAGGGCTGGGGATTTAGTTTAGCAACAAAGTACCTGCCTGGCAAGCACGAGGTCCTGAATTTATCTCTAATACCAAAAAAAGCTACTTTTGGCCAGGCATGGTATTACATGCCTGTAAGGCTAGCACTCAGGTCACTGAGTCAAGAGACTACCAACCCAAGGCCAGCTTGAACTACACAAGAAACTTAATCAAAAGCTACTTTTGCTCCAATTCATGGCTAGAAATGACCTGAGTAATAGAACACACACATCACTACCCTCTTCACATGCATTCTCCCATCTTTAGTGGAATGTTGAAAAGATACTTAAGTAGGTTAAATTAAAAAATTTGTAATAGTGTAACATTTGTTATAAAATTATAATTGTTCTTCACTGGTATTACTCTTCATATCAATACTTGACTATCATGAAAGCCTTCTTCCATTATCATATAACCCTGTTAACATCTCTTCCTTCTAGCATATAATGCTTTCCTGAACAAGATACAGACTGTTCCAGTTGTTTATGTACCAACTGTAAGGACACCACAGCCAGGTAAAGAACCACTGTCTCTTTTTGGCCAGAACTGCCATCTTTCAGCAATTTGCCAAAATGACAAACACAAAGAGAGAAATTCGTGTTTTTCTTTAGAAAACAGAGGCCCCCCCCACCAAAAAAAAGTGGAATTGTTTTTTGGTTGCATACATGGGAATCTACAAAAGGAGCTAAGGAAGGGAATGAGTAGTTTAAAAAGGACCACCACACAAATGTTACCATAGCAAAATGGAAGTGTCTTCAGTGTTACCTACCCAGCATGCTTTGACCATTGTTATAAACAAGGGCAAGATTCTTGCCAAGCGGATTAATGTGTTTACTGAGCACATTAAACACTGTTGGGATAGCTTCCTGAAACATGTCAAGGAAAATCAGAAAAAGCCAAAGAAAAAGGTATGCAGGTGCTGCTGAAGCACCAGCCCACCTCACCCAGAGAAGCGCACTGTTTTTTTTTTTTGTCTTTTTCATCGGTAACAGGGAGATCGAACTCACGACTGCCTGATTACAAGGCAGGCACTTATGCCACTGAGCTAAATCCCAGCCCCTGAGAAGCGCACTTTGTAAGAACCAACAGGAAAGAACCCAAGTTGCTGCAATCTGTTCCCTATGAAACCATGGCATGAGCTGGGGATGTAGTTCTACCACTGGGCACCTCATGAGAGCCTAAGTATTCTAGGCCCTACTTAAAAATAAATCACCCTATGTTACAAGGATGGATGGTTTCCTTAACTGAACAAGGATGTGGTACCTTTACCTCAGAAACAACTATCTGAAGCATATTTTCACTATACCTAGTTGTGTTGGCCTTTACTCTTCGGTGTTTTCTTGCTGGAAGACCGATTTTACTGAAGTGTTGTGCAGGCGTGTGCCCAAATGGCTTAAAGATCCTCTAAATGACATGGGGAAAGATGTATCTAAAAACAACTCAAGTCACTGTATGGCATTCAGTTACACTGTTTAAAAAAAAAAAATCATCTCACTTTAAGCAGCTGTCAGCCGTGTTTAACTTAAATTCTTCAAACAACTCCTTTCCTTCTTCTTGTAGGTCTTTACACCTCCACAAACTCTCCCTCTCCCTTCTGCAGCCCACAAGCCTCAGTACCCCGGAATCAGCTTGCACGCTGGGTATGGAGTACAAGGAACTAACCTAGCACGGATGAGTGCCCTGAACTGCCAGGGAATGAAGATTTCCAGCCTTGTTCTCCACACTAAGCCTCCAAAACAAGGCTCTCAAAAAAGTTTTAAGCTGTTTTAATAAAAGTGGTGTTAGACCGTGTTGTAAATGTCAGTTCTTATTACTATAAAAACAGAGGTTAAACTATTTACTTCCCCACTGACTATTCATTCTTCTGGTTGCCCCTGAATACCGGAGGCATAAACTTTCTATTAGTTAAACAAGACAGCAAACAGGATATATCCAAAATGTGTTTATTGGGATGGCTTCCCTTTCATCTTGATTCAGGGTACTGTTAGTGCTGCTTCCTCCTGAAGGAACATCCTAGAAGAAAATAACTGAATGTTATCTGACACCACCCTCTCTGCCCTGCCCACTGCCCCACTCCCAGAGAACTTCTCAGCTAGTACCTCTCATTCCATTATTAGCTTCAAGTCAGCTTCTATGACACCCTTTTACCAGAACCCATCAATCCCTGCTTTAGACTCAGAGCTGTGAAATTAGTTCATGGTTTCTAGTAATGCTTTAAATCCATGAAATCCAACCCTTTACAAAGCAGTCTCAAAGTTTTACATCAGTAAACTTGTATTTATTGTTAAAAAAACAAAACTGAAAGGTTACACATGATCTCAAAAGCATTTTCTAGTTTCACAGTAGAACATGGATAAAACATGTAAATAACTGTCAGGAAGCAGTCTTGTTCTTCTGATCTATTGATGCATTTAAGAGGTGAGAGTTTGTTTTACCTCAGTCTCACTGTGCATGCAGTTCAGGTTGGCCCCAAACAATCCTGCCTCAATTCTGCAATTACAGGCATGTACCACCATGCCCAGTAATTTTTCTTTTCTTCACATTACACAGGATCACTCAAGATACAAAAGCAAAACCCACAACACTGATTATGCCACTTACCTTCTGTGAGCCTTGCTTTTCCTCCTGTAGGCTGGCAAAGGACAGTGGAGCAGCCAACACACAGAACTACCGTCTGTGCATGGCTGAAGACCGTGGTGATTTTATAGCAACCTGGTGGGAAACAATAAAGCAACACATCAGTAGCCTACGGTGACACACGTCGTGCTCTCAGCACTTCGGGTGGCAAAAGGGCTGAAATTGGGACTACCATCTGGGCTACTTAGCCGATCATATCGCAGGAGTGTATTTTCTTTCACGGGTGACCTCTCAATTCAAGCACTCCTACCACGAAAAATTTTACCAGTTTTTTAATGGGAATTTTAGGCAAACTGGCAACAGCGATCCTTTCACAGACTAAGAAAATGGGATGCAAGTAAGTGGGCAGCGGACACGACCTGCCAGCGGACACGCAGTCTGCCGGGGTCGCAGTCCGGGGCTCGGCTCACCTGGGCATTTCACGTCCATGAAGTAGGAATTGGGGCTCTGCACCAGGCGCTTCTTCTTGTGCTTCCTCTTCTCCTCCTCCGGAGAGGGATGAAGGAGGTCTTTTGCGAGCTACGGGGGCCAAAAGGGAGAGAGTTAGAAAAGAACAGCGCAAAACAGCACGCCGAAAGCAGCCCGGCTGACCCACACCCGGGTGAATCGCCCCGCACGTCTGCGCAGGCCCGCCATCTTAGCTCCGCTGCGCACCAGTCTCCGCGGGGACCCGCGGCCGCTGCGCTCCCGTTAAGGTCCTAGTACGCACGCACGAAGGGAAAATGAGGACCTGCTACGGTCTGAGAGCAGCGTGAGGGGCGCGTGCGGACAGAGGAGCGAGCGCTCCGCCGTAACCCGGCCGAAGGGACTCACAGGCATATTCTCGCAGTGGTCGTCACCGCCGGAAAGGAGCGAAGGCGGAAATCCTGCGCCTTATATTGGGCGCTCTTCCGGAAATGACGCACTCGTGTTTAAGTCGCCATATTGGGAAGGTCCTGCTCCTGTCAGTCGGCTGTGGAGCGTCAGGGACTGCCATTTCTAGGAGGTCGCTGAGAACCCTGTCTCATATGTGACTCCATGTTGGGAGAATTCGCTCTGTTATTTGAGTTCAGCGATTATTCACTGTAAAGAGATTGAATGAATATTTTCACATTTCCTGCCTACCAAGCGTGGACTGAAGCAAGAGGATCACCGCACATATAGCCTGGGCCACCTGGGGAGTTCAAGGCTAGCCTGAACTACATGGCAAAAAAATCCTGAATTTAAAAAATCGTAAATAAATAAATATTTCCTGCTACACTTTTTGCTTGGGATGGATCTCGTTACCAGGCTGGCTTTGAACTCATTTTGTAGCCCAGGCTGGCCGCCAATTTTACGGTGACCCTCCTGCCTCAGCCTTCCTGAGTGCTGGGATTACAGGCATTAGCGTTCACATCCCACTCCTACTATCTTTTGATGGCTGGAACCTAACAAGAATGGATGAGGAAAATACTGGGAAGACAAGCTATATCTAGAATTTATTTTTGCAGCACTGGGATCAAACCCAAGGATGCTCTACCACAAAGTTCTATTCTCCAGCTCTTTTTATTGAACTTTTTTTTTTTTTTTTTTTTTTGTCTTTTTGAGACACAGTCTCGTGCAATTCAGGTTGGCCTTGAGCTCACTTTGTAGCCCAGGCTGGTCTCGAACTCACAACGATCCTCCTGCCTCAGCCTCCTGAGTGCTGGGATTACAGACGTGCGCCACCACGCCCGGCTTTATTGAACTTTTGAGTCAGGCTTTGGCTAAATTGCCCCACTTGACCACCAATGAACTTGCGATTCTCCTTCCTCAGCTACCAGAGAAGATTACAGGTGTGCGCAGCCGTGCCTGGCTTCATTTTCCATTACCAATACATTTCACTATTTTGTTTTTTTACTATTTTCAATCGATTTAATTTGCCCGTATCTAATAGTTCTGAGCGTATTTTTTTAAAAGTTCTTATAAGGCACCCAACCAACCCCAGGTAGTGCTGTTTTATTTTGTTTTGTTTTCTTTTGTCTTACCTTATTGAGGATAGAACCCAGGTCCTGTAATTAGAGCTCCATCCATAGGCTCCAGTGTTAAAGTTTATCATGTGTTTTTTCATCCTTTCCCTCTGAATTGAAATAAAATGAAAGACCTATGTAGTACTTCTCATGTGCATTGTTTTATTGCTTTACATATGCTAATCTTTACAACTCTGAGTTTGATACTTACTGGTTTTGTTTTGAGTCAGGGTATCATTGTGCAGTGTAAGCTATACTTAAACTCACTATGTACCCCAGACTGGCCTGGAACTTCTGAGGATCCTCCTGCCTCAGCCTCCCATGAGCTGGGCTGGGATTACCTGGTATATTCTACAACGCCCTACTCTTTCTGTTGTTTTGAAACTATCTCTCTTGCTATGTAGCCCAGGTTGACCTACATTTTTTTTTTTTTTTGTGGTACCAGGGATCGAACTCACAACCTCACACTTGCCAGCAGGCATTTGTGTCACTGAGCTCAATCCCCAGCCCTGGTCTACAAATCTTGACAATTTTTTTGCATTACCTCTCACCTGGGATTATAGGCCTGAATTAGTTTTATCGTTGGAATAAATAAGAAATTCATTTGTTTCCGAACATCTTACACACATAGTTTGAAGGAAATTTTCCACACTATGTTCAGTGCACCTATGATTGTGTTCCATCACATGAGAGCCTCTTCTAAGAGCTTCAGGTCAGCACTCGAGGTTCCAGAGTTGAGAGCATTTCTGATTTGAGATTTTCACATTTAGGATGCTCAGCCTGTACAGATATATGCATAGAAGACTAGGCAGGTAGTTCAGTGGTTGTACACAGGGTTTGTTTTCTGGCACACACACACTTCAGACACACAGTTTTTTGTCTTTGTTTTCTCTATATGACTATGCCTAAGTATGAGTCAAGCATGGTGGCGCACGCAGATGGCCTGACACTGGGAAGCCAACACGGTAGCAGAACTGTAAATTGGAGCCCAGTCTAGACAGCTTAGTAACTTAACAATACGCTGTCTCAAATTTTTCTCTCAAAATTTTTTTTGTCTCAAATTTTTGAAAAATTTCAAAAAGTGTGAGCATATCACTCAGGACAAAGACCCTGGGTTCAATCCACAGTGGAAAAAACACACATAAGGCCAGGAATTTAACTCACTGGCATAAGTGCCTGCCTGGAAAGTTCAAGGTCATGAGCTCAATCTTTGGTACAAGAAAAAGAAACAAAAAGGAAACATATAAGAATGACAATAGATACTGATGAACATGGGTGCTTGTCCCTGAGCCTAGGGAAATCCCTAAGAGCAGAGTTGTCTGGCAGACGCATGTCCACCAAGAGGCATGCTATACTGTCTTGTAGAAAGCTGGTCTGGGTATGTTCCCAGCCCACCCCTGGGTTCCACTGCTTTCCCAGGGCTTCATCAGAAAGGATGGAAATCAAAGCATCATGCTCTGCCCAACGGCCTAGAGCTCTGGTGCCTCTTGGCAAGAGGAAGAAGGAGTCTGGTCCTGCTGGCACTGAGGCCCAGCTAATTCCAAAGCAAAGAAGTGAGATGAGTGAGTTCTACTCTGGTCAGGACTGTGTGGTAAGGACTAGGGCTCTCTGGAGCAAAGCCTTGCTGTGTCGGCTTTGTTCCTTTCAGTGATGTAAGTATCCCCACCATGGCTGCTTTCAAACTATCCAAATGGCATCATTGAACATTGTTGAGAAATGTGCAGAGTCTAGCCTCAGAAGCCACTGAGCACCCTACCAATGGGCCAGGAGAAGCTGAGGAAGTGACTGTCAAACTGAAATCCAACCATGCAGAGAACTGGAGGGAGAGCATGAACATTCCAGTATGAGGGGAAATTTGTGAATGAAAACCCAAGGCCAGGATGAGGCCAGCATAATTGACTAGGAGGCACTGGTTTGGTTTGGTTTTTAATTATTTTGTGCTCTTTCTTGAGACAGGGTCTCACTATGTAGTGTAGGCTGGCCTTTAACTCCCTTATGGAGCCCACACTGACCTCAAAATCATCGTGATCTTTCTGCCTCACCCTCCCAAGTGCTAGGATTACAGGCATGTGCTACTGTGCTTGGTCTGTTTGGTGTTTTGAGTCTCATTATGCAGTCAGTCCCAGCACTCAGGAGGGTGAAACAAGATCACTGTTCCACTGAGTTCCAGGCCAGCCTGAACTTCATTAGCGATACCCTATCTCAAAAAACAAAGAAACAAACAGAGCCAGGCTTGGTGGCACACCCCTGTGAATCCTATCACTTGGAAGATCCAGGCAAGAGAATCACAGCGAGTTCAAGGCCAGTTTGGTTGAAGCAAGATCACCATGAGTTCTAGTCTATCCTGAAGTACCTCAGTGAGACCTTTTTTCAAAACAAACAAGGCAGGGGCTGGGGATTTAGCTCAGCGGCATAAGCGCCTGCCTTGCAAGCAGGCAGTTGTAAGTTCGATCTCTGGTACCGATAAAAAGGAAAAAGACAAACAACAGCAACAACAACAAAAAAAAAAGCCAGCAAACAAAAAATCAAAATAGGATCTCACTAAATTGCTCATGTTGGCCTCAAATTTGTGATCCTCCTGCCTCAGCCTCCCAAGCAAGATGTCTAGAGTATTGTCCCATAACAGGTCACATGAAGAATAATGGTGTCCCCACCTCCACTCCATTGAGCTACTTCCCCAGCCCTCCCCAAATCACTGAATTGCCAGACTGGGCTCACACTTTGATCCTCCTGCCTTGGATTCCCTAAGTGCTGGGAGTACAGGGGTGACACCATGCTTAGCTAAGAATGACATTTGTTATTACGTGTGTGTCTGTGATACTGGGATTTGAGCCCAGAGAGCACTCAGCTACATCTCTAGCCCTTCTTATTTTTCATTTGGAGCCAGGATCTGGTAAATCGGTTAGACAGGATCTGGCCTTGAACTTGCCTTTCTCCTGCCTCAGACTCTCAAGTAGCTGCGATTATATAGGCTTTGCAACACAACACCAGGTTCCAAGGAAGATGTTTCTAGTCCCAATCTGTTCTCTGGAGTTACCTCATCAAAGAAATCATACAGTATCCCTAGCTGGGTGTGGTAATACATGTTTTGCAATCCCAGCCCTGGGGAGGCTGGGCAATTCTCCTGGAGTTTGAGGGCCTTGTGGGCTATGTAGTAAGTTCAAGGCCAGCCTGGACTACGTGGTGACCCTATAGGAAAAACAAATCTTACACAGGGTTCCAAAGAGAACGGTGTCTACGTGGGCTCTGGATGTTGATGTTGATTTTGATGTTGATGTAAGGGGCCTGATTCTGAACTAGAATTAATTTTAATTTTACTTTGTTCCACCAGGGGGCAGAGGGACACCGCAAATAACCTACAAGGGACGTCCCGCTATTTTTCAAAAGGATCTGGTTCTAACTGAGGTCCCAGAGCACCGAGGATGGAACCCTAGCTGGGGTAGCCTGGGTCCCCAGGGCCTCAGCCGCCTGGAAGCCGCGCGGCTGGGCCGGGCCGGAGCCGGGGCCGGAGCCGGGGCTGGGCGGGCCGGGGCGGGGCGGGCCGGGGCGGGCCGAGGCAGGAGGCGGGGCGGCCTCCGCAGTTCCCGGCTGGCAGCAGCCGGGAAAGTGCTTCCTGGCCTGGGCCGGCGCCGGCCTCCCCTGCAGTCCCAGCCTGGCGCTCCCACCCCGCCCGGCCCAGGACCGCCATGGCCAAGGCCTACGACCACCTCTTCAAACTGCTGCTGATCGGGGACTCGGGGGTGGGCAAGACCTGTCTGATCATTCGCTTTGCCGAGGACAACTTCAACAGCACGTACATCTCCACCATTGGTGAGCCCGCCGGCCAAATCCCGCGCCTCGCTGCCCGTGCCCTCGCGCGCCGCTCGGGCTGCTGGACCTCTGGGGATCCTACTGCACCCCAGACTCCAGTCCCGCCCCCACCCCCGTCTCAGGCCCGCCCCATCCATGCCTCTGCACGGTGCCCAAACTTCTAGCCTCCTTCTAGGACCAAGGTAACTTCAGTGGCTGTCGCCCTGGTTTCCTTGGTGCCACCTTCCTTCCCTGCCCAAGCCGACGGGAGCCCTGTTTGCCCTCCAGCTCCTCTCCCCACCAGCCACTTGGAATCCTTGATCCCCTCTCCACAAGTCCTGTGTTCCCAACCCAACCTCCCTCCCCGCTTCTGACCTCTTCCTGTCACACTGTCCGGCTGTGTCACCATCTGCTGCCTCGTCTCCCCCTCAACTAACTGGGAAACCAGAGGGCAGCACCTGGCCCTCAAGAGCTGTGACCCCGAATATGCAATCACTTGGTGAGGAAGGCAGGAACCAGGGCCTTCCTGGGTCTTTGAGTCAGCCTGGTAACTCAGCCTTCTCCCACGGCCCCAGCAGCTACAAGGAGGCGGGATTGGGAAGGAGCTGGTAGGTCACCTTCCGGTCAGCTTTCTTTGGACCTCTGTGTCCTGAGAAATCAGAAGGGGAGTCTCAGGACAGACAGTTCTGATTACAAGGGGAATCTCCCTAGCAGTTTCAGACTCAAGTCTTAAGTCCAAGCCTGGCCCAACATTACCTCACAGAGACTTGCACTGGCGGTCTTTCCCCTACACTACATCTCAGGAGTATGGTGGAATATGATCCGGTAGAGGGCCCAAAGGAAATGAAAGGAAAAAGGAATGTGGAAGTGATACTCAGCAGTTGACCTGGCCTTAAGCTCTCTGCAGAGCTTCCATCAGTGTCTGCCCTCTAAAAATCCATAAAAACCCTGTGTAAGCACAGTTTGGGGAAATTCGCCTGGTCCTACATGTCCAGTGAGGTTGCATCCCAAACACTCACCTGCAGTTATTGTGCTGTCACTGTTCCATTCTGTCTGTGCACGTGTGCACACACGCATGCAAATATGCACGCGCACACTCACACAGATGCATCTTGACTTCCACCTAGGAATTGATTTCAAGATCCGTACTGTGGACATAGAGGGGAAGAAGATCAAACTGCAAGTCTGGTGAGTGGGACCCTGGACATCCAATCCCAGGCCCCCTTTTCTTCCCACAGCCTCTCTGTCTTTTTCATTTCGCTCCCTTTCCCAGTGTTTTCTTCCAGCACTTCTGTTTTATCTTGTTTACTCAGCTGCCCTCTCTCTCTTCTGCTCTCCCAGCCATTTTCAGCCTATTTCTAATCCTTATGTCCTCTGGATCCAGAGCATCTCAGATCTGGAAAACAGAGCTGTGAGCTGCAGAGTGGAAACAGCTTCTAGGTAGTGAGCGGGTGAGTAGCAGAATCAAGATAGCTCCAAGCCTGGCGCTGTCTTTGAAGGAGAGAGTCCGGAGGATCATTTACAGAGGCTGTACCTGTTTTTAACAAGGAAGTTGGACACCAGAGGTATTCAAGGGTTGTGGTATTCTTGTGGAGGCATTAAGATACATCAAATAGCTAGGCATAGTGGCACATGCCCAGAATCCCAGCAGAAAATAAAATAAAGGAAAAGGTGCAGACATGGGTGCCAATGCAAACATGTCTCACAAGTATAGAGTGAGGGTTAAATAAAATGATACTTTAGTGCTTGACACACGGTATGCTTTTAGTAAGTAAGAAAGATAGTCTGGGGGCTGGGGATTTAGCTCAGCGGCATAAGCACCTGTCTTGCAAGCAGGCGGTTGTGAGTTCGATCCCCGGTACCGATAAAAACGAAAAAGACAAAAAAAAAAAAAAAAAAAAAAGATAGTCTGTTTCTTGGGCGCTCTCTGTGTGTGCAGGGGATTGAACCCTGGCCCTTTGCACTGAGCTATAATTCCAGCCCTTCAAATTTTTTATTTTATTTACTTATGTACTTATTTAATTTACTTATTAAGACTGGGTCTCCCTATGCCGTCCATGCTGGTCTTCTTAAACTCACTATGTAGATCAGTCTGTCCTCAGACTTCTAGGAATCCTCCTGCCTCAGCTTCCTGAGTGCTGGGGTTACAGAAGAGTGTCACCATGACTGGCCACATTTTAAAATTTTGGAACAGAGTCTGGCTATGTTGCCTAGATAGAATTCAAATTTGCAGTCCTGCCTCAGCCTCCAAAGCACTGGGATTACTGATATGTACCACCTAGCTTGGTGGTAGTGGCTTCTCTTCCCGCCCCACCCCCTCCTCCTCATGGTACTGGCATGAAGTACCACCCATATCCTCACACATGTGGGGTGAGTCCTTTGCTCACCTCTAAACCTCTGCTGTGTCTCAGTGGCAGCCCCGCTGTCTTATCCCTCTTCCTATTTACTGTTTCCTGGTCTTTCTTTCAGTGTACTTGTGTTGTAGGAGCTGGATTGGGGGGGGAGGGGTCTCCCCTTGGAAACCCCTTACTTCTCTCCTGCCTTGTGAACCCTTCTCCAGGGACACGGCTGGCCAGGAGCGATTCAAGACAATAACTACTGCCTACTACCGTGGAGCCATGGTACGCTGTGCACCTACCTGGACAGGGCTTCACTGGGAGATAACAGTGCCATGAGTAAAAAGATGAAGGGGTACAGTATGGGTGCTACACAGGGCCCCATTTGCAAGCCAACGTGTTTTGTTTGTTTGCTCGGTTTTTTTTTTTTTTTTTTGGTCTTTTTCTTTTTATCGGTACGGGGGATCGAACTCACGTCTGCCTGCTTCCAAGGCAGGCGCTTATGCCGATGAGCTAAATCCCCAGCCCCTAGGTTTGGTTTTGTTTCCTTTTTGTCCATGCTAAGGATGGAAACCAGGGCCTCATATGTGCTAGGCTTCCTCACCCTGCAGGGCCCCGTGTGCCATGGTATTCAGACCTGGGCACTGGCTCTCAGAGTTGCTTCAAAGGAAAAAGGAAGCGTGGCCCTAGAAATGGTCCAAGGTGAACTTTGCTGTCCCCCAGGGCATCATCCTGGTCTATGACATCACGGACGAGAAATCCTTTGAGAATATTCAGACTTGGATGAAAAGCATCAAAGAGGTGAGGATGCTCTGAGAGGAGCTGGGTGGGCTCCAGAGGATTAAGGGAGCCATGAGTATGGAGAGCCCCACATCTGACTCCCCATTTTGTCCAGAATGCCTCAGCTGGGGTGGAGCGCCTCCTGCTGGGGAACAAGTGTGACATGGAAGCCAAGAGAAAGGTGCAGAAAGAGCGGGCAGACAAGGTGAGGGCCGGGTGGGGCACCAGCTGGGGTCACACTATGTGGGTGCGGGTGTTGGCCTTTTCCAACTCCTGTTTCTGCTGCCCCCACAGCTGGCTCGAGAGCACGGAATCCGGTTTTTCGAGACAAGCGCCAAATCTAGCACGAATGTGGATGAGGTGAGGTCTGCCCTCAAAGGAGTGCTGGGGGCATGCACACAGTGGGGGACCCCTCCAGTCCATCCTGGTCCTCTCCCCTGTAGGCTTTCAGCTCCCTGGCCCGAGACATCTTGCACAAGTCCGGAGCCCGGAGACTGGTAAGTCTGCTCTTGGGGCTGGGTGCCCTGCTGTGGGTGGTGCCCCTGGGAAGGGTGGGTCCCTGGCCTCGCCCCGACCCCTAGGCCCCTCTCCCTTCAGGGAGACAGCAACAAGGCCTCCAGTGCTGCCCTGCAGCCCTGCGACAGGAAGAACGCCAGCAAGTGCTCCCTGAGCTGAGGCCCTGTCCGCTGCCCACCTAGCGCTGGAGGCCTAACCGGGAGAGACCGGGCTGAGGGCAGCCGGGAGGCACAGTGGGGACTCTGGATAGGTAGACAGGTGGTGAGAAGAGAGAAGGTGGAGAAGGAAGGGGGAGAAGAGGCAAGGAAGGCATGGGCAGGGAGAAGAGGGAAGGGATAAAGGATGTGAGAGAGATGGAGGGGTGAGACCAGACGCAGGGAGGCTGGCAGGCTGGGCAGCCTCAGGCCTCCGGCTGTCCCTGGGTCTTCAGGACAAACCTAAATGTAAATCTGTGGGGTTCTGTTACTGACTGGGGTTCAACGGTCCATCAAGAGACTGGCTAGGTACCACACTTTGAAGACTTGTCATTTTGCAGGGTCTTTCTCAGTATTAAAGGCCTCCATTGGCACTAATGTCCTCTGTGTGGGTGATTGTCATTGTTGTTGGATGTCTCTACTCAGATACCTCTGCACAGTGTGAGCCTGGCTGGTGCCCTGTCCCTCCCTAATACTGGGCAGTGGAGAAAACAAAAGAAAGGCAGAGGGAATATGTGACTTCTTTTCTGCATGGGCTCCATGAGTTCACTGGTCCTTACTAAGTTGACCAGGCTGACCTCAGACTTGGGCAGTATTCCTGTCTCAGCCTCCCAGAGGCTGAGTTCTCAGGTGCCCAGCTTATTACCTGCTTTTATTGGGGAGGAAAATGAGACACAGAGAGGTTCATTAATTCATGAATATATATAAAGCAACTGCTGTGTCAGGTATGGTATTTATCACAGCCTTTGGTTGGTACTTAGAGGCAGCAGAATAAGCAAGTTTTAACAAAAACAACTCTTGGGTTTTGTTTTGTTTTGTTTTGTTTTGGTACCAGGAATTGAACTCATGACCTCGAGCTTGCCAGGCAGGCACATTGCCATAGAGCTATATCCCCAGCTCACAAAAACAACTCTTAATTCCTCAGAAACAAAGATGACAAAACTATTGATTTGTGAAAGAAAACTGCCAGGGGCTGGGCATATAGCTCAGTGGCATAGCACCTGCCTGGCAAGCACAAGGTCGTGAGTTTGATCCCTGGTACCAAAAAAAGAAAGAAATATAATATGAAATTAAGGTACAGAAATCTTTGTTTGCATTAGTGAGGCTTACTCAGTTTCTTTTGTTTTTGTGTGTTTGTTTTTGAGACAGAGTCTACTACTACTAAATGTAGTTTAGTTTGGCCTTGAACTCACTATGTAGTCCAGGCTGGCCTCAAATTCATGGCAATCATCATGCTTTAGCCTCCCAGTGCTGGGATTACAAGTGTATGCTGTCACACCTGGCTATATTTTTCAGATGACAAAACTGTCTTACAAATCTGATCTTAGGATCAATGCAAGTGTCAGATATGGTCTAAATGAAACGTTTTACTAGCAGCTTTATTCGTGGAGGCTGGAATGTGACTCAGCTAGCGTGCATAGGGTCCTGGGCTTAGTCCTAGCAATGAGAGAGAGAAAGATTGATTCATTGTGTGTGGTTGGAACATGTATTTATCTATCTTAATCCTCTTTATTTCCTCTTTCCCTCTTCTTCTTCCCTAGATCCTCTTTTTTTTTTTTTTTTTTTTGTCTTTATCCTTCTTATCAGTACCAGGGATTGAACTCACGACTGCCTGCTTGCAAGGCAGGCGCTTATGCCACTGAGCTAAATCCCTAGCCCCTAGATCCCCTTTCCAACTGCAAAAAGTCTCCTACCTCCCTGTTTATATTTTATTTTGCTCTTTATTTCTACTTTGAATTTTTCAGATAAACAAGCAATATTTAACCTTCTCTGTCTGATTTATTTCACTTAACATTATGGTTTCAAAGTACATACATTTTCAAACAAATGACTCAAATCTGTCCTTTACGCCTAGTTAGTACTCTATTATATACAATACATTTTTGCTGAGCATGGTGGTGCATGCCTGTAATCCAGGCACTTGGGAGGCCAGAGGCAGGAGGATCACTGTGAGTTCAAGGTCACCTTGTGCTAGGTAGTGAATTCAAAACCAGTCTGCAATATAAAGCAGGACCCTGTCTCAAAAAAAAAGTCTTTATCCATTTATCTGCTGATGAACATGTAGGTTTCTTCCAAGACTTAACTATTATATGTTGTACTGCTATAAACACGGGTATACGTGTACCACTGCAATGTGATCTTTTTCATGATCCCAGAAGGGGTATAGCTGGGTTAAATGGAATTTCTAGTTTTAGGTTTTTGTTTTGTTTTGTTTTGTTTTGTTTTGTTTGAGGCAGGGTCTCCCTGTGTCGTTCAGGCTGGACTTGAAATTATGTAGCTCAGGCTGGCCTTGAATTTGTGTGATCCTCCTGCCTCAGCCTCTTCAAATGCTGGGATTAGGTGTGTGCCACCACATTTGACTGTCTAGTTTGTTTTTTGATGAATCTTCATACTGATCTCTCTAGTAATTACAGTGGTTAATATATCAATTGTAAAACAGGAAGAAAGTGTTCGGGTGAGAAGGGGAAATAGAGTACGGAGGGGGAAGGAAAAGAAAAGGAAAAATGGAAACAAAGCTTTTGTAAATACGGAGAGAAAGAGGGATTAAAGGGAGAGGAGAGGCATGGAGAAAAAAGAATCAAGATATATCATGTGTAGGTACAAATTCCCTAGGATGAACAGGATCATTATGTATACCCAAAAAACACCAATAAACTAATAAAAATAAAAACTTAAAAAAATTAGTTAAGATCTCACAGCTTGCTATGAGATAAAGTAGGATTATAGTAAGAAATAACAATACTAGGAGATTTCAACTAAAACTTTAATTATACCCAAAGACCAGGGTGGGAGAGACCGCAGCCTACTTTCCTATGCACACGTGCACAGCTTTTTTTTTTTTTTTTTTTTTTTTTCCCTTTTTGAGACAGTCTCGCTGTGCAGTTCAGGCTGGCTTTGAGCTCACTTTGTAGCGTAGGCTGGTCTGTCTCAAACTTGCAGCAACCCTTCTGCCTCAGACTCCTGAATGCTGGCATTACAAGCATGCGCCACCACACTTGGCACAACTTTTACACACACTTAATTTAAAGGAACAAATGCCGCACACCTGTAATTCTAATGCTTGGAAGGCTCAAACAGGAGAATTGTCACAAGTTCAAGAAGTTCAAGGTCCACCTGGGCTATACATAGTGAGCTCAAGGCAACCCTGAAATATATAGTCAGACCTTGTCCCTCCAAAAAAATCAAAATTGAAGCTTAGCATCCATCATCCAGTTTTTTGTTCCATCTTGCATTCAGTGGTTTTTTTTTTTTTTTTTAATTGGAACCGAGGATCAAACTCACGACCTCACACTTGCAAGGCAGGCGCTTATGCCGCTGAGAAAATCCCTGGCCCCTCATTCAGTGATCTTTCCACATTATCATTCTTGGGCTTTAAGTGTAATATGATAATGAAGCAGGAGACAGGTGGGGTCCCAAAGCTGCTCAGACACAAAATAGTAGAAAAGGGTGTCTTTAATTTGTTGGCATCTCTTCAAGGAACTCATATCTCCAGAGCTTCAAACAAAGCTTTGTCTCTACTTTTATATTGTTTCTTCTCTACAGGGCTATTTTTCACTGGAAATTAGCGCAGAGCAGTGAGTAAGCAGGTGAACAGTGGTCAGGAGAGAAGGCAGTGCAGGGAGTTTTGACAGAACTTTCTGAGTCTCATGTTCTGCTGACATTACGTTGTAGGCGCACCTGTGCATAGCCAGTATAGAACCATTGACTTCCTCTCGGAGCTGAACTGTGCAGTTAACCCGTAGTTGCCCAATTTCACTCTGGAAAGTGGTTTACTCTCTTTCTCTTTGAGGCTCTGCTGAAGAGCCTTGCCTTTTATGTCAATTTTCCTTATCATGTTCTGTTTTATCAATAGCCATGTTTACATGAGCTTCTGGAAATTGATAGCCTTTAACCCACATAATATAAGAGTTTATTTTCCAGACTGTGGTAGCTTTCATCATAGAATTCAAAACCCGCATTGCCCCTGGTAATGGATAATCCAAGCAGATCCCCAGGACAGCCATGAATTCTCCCATCATGGTTTTTAAACCACCTTCCAAACGTTTCTCCCGATTTCCATGCTTTCGAGGCCAGGACTGGTACATGGGCAAACTTCTGCATTCTTTTGGTGATTTCTTCTATTACCAGTCCATGATCATCTATCTGAAGGCAGCAATTAGTCAAATTGAACTTCCCACAAACTCCTCCTTCTTTAGTTTGTAGGTAATCTAGTGCTAATCAGTTTGATATATTGTATCTTGATTTTTTTCCTCTTCTGTTATCTTTTTTAATCAGATTTTTTTGTTGTTGTTTTGGTACTGGGAATCAAACTTAAAATGTTGCGCTTACCAACAGGCCCTTGTGCCCCTGAGCTATATCCATGCCCCCACTTTTTTGTCCTGGTGATTGAACTAGTGACCTCATGCTTGCCAAGCAGGTGCTTGTGCCATTGAGCTAAAAACCCTTTGTCTGAGAGACAGCTTTTTCTTCCATATTTTTCTCCCATATTGTGAGCTATCTCTTCATGGTGTTACTGGTTTCTCCTGCTATGCAAAAGCTTTTCAGGAGGGTGATAGTTTCTGTGTAGTCTGGATTTTGTTCGTAAAATCTTTGCCTACACCAATGTCTTCCAGATTTTTACTTACTATATCTTCCAGCAGATTTAATGTTTCTGTTTTAATATTTAGATCTTTGATTCGTTTTGAATTTAGTTTAGTGCATGGTGAAAAATATGGGTCCACCTTTACTCTTTGGCACGTGGAGAGCCAGTTTTTCCAGTGCCCTTAATTAAAGAGACTACCTTTCTTCCAGTTAATGTTTTTGGTACATTTGTCAAAGATAAGGTGGCTTACTGTGTCTGAAGTTGTTTATGCATCTTCTAACCTGTTCCATTGTTCTTCAGGTCTGGGTTTTTTTTTTTTTTTTTGCCGGTACCACAATGCTTTTATCACAGTAGCTTTAAAGTACAATTTCAAATCAGGGATTGTGATGCCCCCTGTCTTATCTTTGTTGCTCAGGATTGCCTTTGCTATTCTAGGTCTCTTCTAGTTCCAGATGAATTTTAGAATTGTTTTCTCTAATTCTGTGAGATATGCTATTGGAATTTTGATTAGGGTTGCATTGAACCTGTAAAACAGTTGTGGAAGTATGGCCATTTCCACTGCATTGGTGCTTCTGACCCAAGAGCATGGGATATCGTCCCGTCTTCTAATATCTCCTCACTCTCCTATTTCAGAGTACTATAGTTTTAAATGTAGCAATCTTTTGTGTCCTTTGTTAGAGAGTGATTCCTAGGTACTTCATTTTGGGGGTGCTATAGTAAAAAATATTGTTTCCCTGATTTCTCTCTCAGTGAGTTTGTTATTTGTGTACAGGAAGGCTATTGATATTTGAGTGTT